GTTCTGTGGTATCGGCTTGGGGCCGAAATGATCATGAAAATCAACACGAGGCAAAGAGGCGCCACAATAAGGCAACTATTGGACTCGATTTGTTCCCTGTAGAGTGCAGCTGTCTGTGTACAAATTTGCTGATAGCCCGTGATCAGCTCTACAAGGACTGGCGTGATTTCCGGCCAACATCTCGCCCTTCGTAGGGATCGAAGCCCAGGAAACCAATGTCAGCATCCGCCTTTGGAACTCCCAAAACGAGGAGCTGTGGATCCACTTTGCAGAGAAACGGTATACGCCTCTGGAGTACAACTGCTGCTCATCACCTCATACTCTCAGCGCAACTTATATCTTGCACTCATCGCCAATTTCATCATTTACCTACCCCAAAACTAAAGATTGCAAGTGGTTTGAGCTCACCATCGGATCGATCCTGCAGACCCTGATTGGATTTCTGTCTAGCTCCGATTACTGTTAAACACCAACCTGATCGTCAAAAACTCGCGCCAGCCGCTTTCCCGCCAGCGTAATTAAACTGACATGCCAACGAGCTGTTTCGATACGTATCGGCGAGCAAGCATGTCGTCATGTACACTAAATCGATAACTTCAGAGTCAATAATTTGGAGGTAGGAAATAAGAACCACCTGAGCAGCAGGGCTCTTGACGCGACTTTAGACTGCATAAGATCTTCTATTGTTTCTACTCCTTCAATTCCCACCTTTCTCATCATCAGAAATCATTAATAACACCCTCCCACGCAGGCAAAAACCCCGTGAGCGTGAACAAGTCATTCAAAGTATCTTTCTACCAAACCCCGAAAAAGTCGCCAAATCGAGACGACTTTCTGCACGATCCCGCAAAAAATAATAGAGTCGCCCATAGTAAGCCTCTAAAGCAGTGGCTCTGAAACTCTCGAAGGAAGTAATGCGCCCGCAGAAGTCCCTTCCGTCACGAGACTCAATGGTGCTTAACCGAAGCACTACTTCGTTACCACCCTCCAAGCGCTCAGAGGATTGGCCGAAGTTTCAGCCTTTCCATGGAATGCTTGCGTATCGGCACCTCTCCCTTCGGGAAGAGCCGGTGAGAACGGACTTGAGCTCCGCTGAGCCTTCCCCTCTTTCTTCCCAAACTTGTGCCAGTATCCCACCAACTCCAACGGGCGCAACTGGCTTTTTGCGCTCGCTTTGGCGTCCGTCGACTATATCTGATCAGCTATCCATCAAAGACCGATGATGTTGTGTAAATCTATATATCACAATCAGCGCCGAGGGCACGCCAAGACTCAGAGTCAGGCTTCGCATTCCATGATGATGGTGAAAATTACCGCTGCAACTGGGCGCCTGTGTCGGGTTTCTGCTTGTGGGTTGTAGCCTTGATGAACGATGGGTGTGTGCTTGGTAGGGAGGCTGCGGTGGCCGCATTTGGTTATCTATAAAGGAACCTTTGTGGCCGAATGGCCGCCCAGCTTTCTCGGATTGCTTCATGCGTAGACCGGACCGGTCTTGTTTAGTGTGGGGCTATATGGTGTGTGCGGTTTCTCTGAGCGGAGAGTAGTACGAGAGTTTCTGACTAGGACCGCTTGCTGGTATTTATCTTACACACTGTACATTGAAAGAGAGGTGTTAGGATGGCTGCACTGAGTTTGTCATTGCATCATATTTCAGTTTGTTATACCAACATTCAAGGCTCGTTTTCACATTAGACTTCGTTACAGAACCTATCGATTTAATATGATTTTTGCAATCTTGACGTTTGCGAAACACGTCCCCGTAAGCAATACTTTTCGCACGTAATTCTCGCTCAACTATCACACCAGCACCAGCACCCTGACCTCATTGCTCCACCCTGCCTCGAGGCCCATCTCGTCCCACGCCGCCTCCACATCCACCTCCAGCACCGGAGCCTGCTCAGCAATCTTGACCGTGCGCATGGGTACCACCTTCTCCGAAATCATCACCAAGACATCATCTTCCACGGCCTTTTGATGCAGAGTAGAGACGTAGATCCCCAGCATTCCTAGTGCCTTTAACGCCACTTCAATGCGCAGCCTACCGTTGTCTTCAAGGCGCGTCTCGGACCTAACAACAGCGGCCGCGCCGGTCATCTTGCCTAGCAGACCCAACACAGCGACCTTCGTAGCTGAAGAGTCTGGTATGGAGGGTTCTGGAATTGGAAATACGTGGAGAGGGTAGGCGGAAAGGATCTCATAGCCTTTGACCTCCACCTCCAGAGAGATGACGGGAGTTTCGCTACTCAATTTCATAGGATGCGTGACTTCGCCTGTGGTGTGCGTTCTCACGACATACTCCTCGCCGCTGCCGACCCCGGGGAAAGCGTTTATATTGACTAGCTCTGACAGCGAGCGTTCACTGACATTGAACAGAGCTAGTATACCAGTGCCACCTACACCGCCAGTGAAGGTACCCACTTTGAGAAGCCTCTCTTCTTCGTACCCGATGTAGATGCCCATGGCTTTGCCAATGACAGAAGGGCGAAGAATGATCGTTTTACCTTGAATGGTCTGGGCAGTCATCTGCGCGATCAGGTCTAAGTTGTGTTGCCCAGGTTCATCTGTGAAATATATGGGACCTCCAGAGACGCAGCGACCAGCAGCATGGAAGGAGGAGTAGGGATGCGATGTTTGGAACATGTCCCAGTCTGGCAATATGTTAAGATGGCTTGTCAGAAGTGAATTATGAGCATTGACAAAGATATGCCAAGGATGCGAACTAGGTATGCCCGGGAAGAAGTCATCGCTATTGCGGACCATGATACGTGGCTTGTTGGTAGGTAATTGGGTGTGAAACAATATCTGAGGGATCTGTGACATGCATGAGATGGCCTTGATGGAGAAGTAGCGGAGACCGTTGATGGTCCAGGCGTCTTGGTAGGCCTTGATGAAGCGGCGGCGATCAGGCGCATCAGCGAGAAGATCGAGAGCAAATTGAGCGTCCGTTTTCACAGAGTCGACGCCACAAGAGAGGAGGAATCTAGGAGCTGTGTTTCAGTGGTCATGAAGGTGATGAAAGTCTGGAGAACTTACTTGTAGAAGTCGTTGTACATCCTGTCGATGTCGTCCGCGTCCACCATTGTCACTGTTTCTGCTGGAATCAGACTCCTCTCTTTGCGGACTGCAACAGTCTTGTACTTTTTAGCAATACTCCCGTCCGGAGAAACACCTCCCCAGTATCCTGCCTGCATTGACTGTTATTTCCATGACATTGTCTGGACCTTAAGGGGCGGACACACAATGGCATGCCAGACGGCTATATGTTGGATGTTTGGGTGATCTTCTCGAATATTCTTGATTGTATGCTTCAGTCCATGTGGGAAGCCTTCCTTATTTGCTTCGAAATCGGTCCAGCCTCGGTTGAACTGATGTTCGCCATGGGAGTCCTGGTATGCTTAGTCAAAGTCAAGAATAACATCCATTTAACGCCCAAACCTACAAGAGACTGCCAGTTGTCGTCGATGATCAAGTTTGTGACTGAAACCTATAAGCTTGAACGCAAAATTGATTGAGGACTCAAATGTACTTTTGATGTTGTTCTGCTTGAGAATATCCAACGCGTTGTATATCTTGTTCTCGTTCAGGTCTTGGCCCAACGCATTCCAGGTACAGTAAGTCAATCCATCGTACCAATTGTCCATCCATTCAGCCTTAACATCGTTCTCAATAGCGGTTTTCATTTCAGCCTTGATTTCATTACTCATATATTCATCTCCGCGGACAAGCTTGCGCGCATGATACATCACCGCAGCATTAGCTGACTCAAAATTCGGGGCAACAGCGGCAACAATCCTCGTCTGGCCGTCCATCGGGCTATCATTCCTTGATGAGGCGATGACATTTCCATGGCCATCATGTTTGAAGATAGTCAAGACATCATCAATCCCACTGACCGCAAGTAAGACCAAGTGAAGGCCATCCCAGCGCAAGAAAGAGCAGAGAATGGCATCTTCCTGGGGTTGGAAGTTTCCTTTGCCATGTCGAGGCGCAAGCCACGGGCTCCAGATCCTCACCAGCGCGAACCATCGGGTGAAGCTCCTTGGAACACCGAGGCTTGTTTCTGTCCAACCAGAAGTCTCGCCTTCCGCTGCTCTCACAGCTGTCGTGATTGACCATACTTGAGCATCTGGGGATTCGCTTGGGACAGATTGGACAGAGAAATCAGGACTAAGGTCCTTGAGATAGCTTTTCAACTCGGTAGGTGGCGTTTCAGGCTGGTAATATAGTTCTCCATCTGTGAAAGACGAGTTGTCGTTCACCCACTTCCAACCATGGGACGATGCGATGCGATACTTTAGCGTGAACTGCACAGAATCATGGAGATTGGACGGAGTTGGTAGATCAATTGAGAAGAAGCGGCGGTACACTACGGCTCTGTTTTTGGAGCCGACCACAAGCTGTTATCCATGTAAGCTCAGAGCCACTCAACTCGAGTATTGGGCCATGTTACAGGGCCAGTAGTTGTCTGTGTCTCCTCCAGACGTAATTCACGCCACTCGTGGTTCTCGTGACCGTTGTGCCAGAGTATAGCTTCCCATGGCTGTTCAGGGAAGGATCTGCTGGATTCCAAAAGGACTGTTACTTTGACCTGGCATATATCAGTTCATTGTAGTCCATTCTCTACGTAGTACAAAAAGTACCGTTTCTCCGTAGGGAACAACTGTGGTCGATCCCAATGGCGGATCACAAATTGCATTTGCGAATAGTTGCATCTGAGCTGCTCTGACGAATTTCAGTTGGAACGGTTTCCCATTCAGATCATTTGTGACCATGCTGCATGTTTGCTCCTGGTTCAGATACGATGGCCCCTTGCATCCGTGCCCCTCGAATATCCGATGGTCCGAGTTTAGCCGCCGGGAATATTTCCGCTGCTAAGCGCGACTAGTTTTTCTCCCTGGCTTTGCTTTGCATTATGCACATCTTCAAGTCTTTGAACATTAATAAATGATTTCTCGTAGTGCTCTCGGGCTATCACAGAACTCGCGATACCTATGCCCCTCATGTGCAAGTCGACTGCGCACCTTCAGCCCGGTAAGCCAGAGACGGTCCATCACGCAGGAATATACCAGGAAAACATTGGAAGCAAAGCTAGCATGGGCGCGTCAAGCCACAGAGATCAAGGCTGGGAGGAAGGAAAGCATGTTGACCATGCTGGAGAAGAGGGGATATGTCAACCAGATAGTAGGGTGAGATATCATGGCATACACGACATAGCAAGGACACATGGTTCTAACACACTACCAGCGAAAGAGGTGACCTGGATCGATTGCTGACAGAGAAGCGGGTTGGGATATATGTTGGAGTAGACCCTACAGCACCATCTATGCACGTGGGACATCTGTTGCCGTTGATGGTGTTGTATTGGATGTACATACATGGCTTCCATGCCTGCTCTCTGGTGGGCAACCTTTTATCTGACTCCATGCGCAGTCTGACTGACAATTGTAGCTTGGAGGCGCTACCGCACAGATTGGAGATCCCACTGGACGAACGACGACTCGGGAAGTGCAGCATTCCTCAGTGCGGAAGGTCAACATGCTGCAGGTTCATATGCAGCTAAAGTTAATATGGGCTCATGCTGAACACAGAGCAAGAGGCTATGGATATCATTGGGAATGGGCGTGGAGGAAAGAGGTGACCAACAATAATGCCTGGCTGAACAAGCTGCCAGCCATTGAGCTCTTGAAATTGTTGGGCTCGGGTGTCAGGCTAGGGACTATGCTAGGAAGGGACACGTGAGTGAGTCCGGGCCATGTTTCTTAGAACCCTCGGAGCGCTGACTCCTTCTTCTAGGGTGAAGAATCGAACGGAGTCGAAAGAAGGCATGTCTTTTTCGGAATTTACATATCCTTTACTGCAATCCTGGGATTGGTGGCATATGTATTCTACGAAGGACATACAGGTACAAGTTGGAGGATCAGACCAGTTTGGAAATATCGTCGCCGGTATAGACGCTATCAACCACATCAGACACAATCATTACGATCCACTCATCAGGCAGGAAGAGGAAAAGCTCGAAAAGAGGGAGGCTTTCTTGAAGAGACCAATGGGTTTCACGGTTCCTCTCTTGACAACTAAATCTGGTGCGAAATTTGGCAAGAGTGAGGGCAATGCGATATGGCTAGACAGGGAGATGACCAGCGGATTCGATCTATATCAGGTGATGATGACTTCCCTTGCCCACTCAAGCAGGTGCTGATCCCAAAAAGTTCTTTCTTAGGACCGCAGACTCAGATGTCCATCGTTATCTCAAGCTCTTCACCTTCGAACCTCTCGAAGTCCTAGAGACCCTTATGGAAGAACACAACAGAGCACCACCCAAACGCATTGCCCAACACAAATTGGCCAAAGAAGTGCTCAAGATTGTCCATGGCGAAAAGCTAGCCAACGAAGCCGAACAAGAGCATAGCAAGATATTCAACAGGTCCTTTGACTCCAATCCACAGACTGACGACGATGGAAATCAATCGACGGACCACGTCGACAAGGCTGTACCTTCTATCAGCAAAGATAACGCCCCAACTAGTAGCCTCATACTCCCCAGATCTCTCATATACAATCAACCTATCTCTCGCGTTCTCTACCACGCTGGATTCGTCGCTTCTCGCAGCGAAGGTGTCCGTATGGTATCGAAAAAGGGCGCGTACCTAGGCGCGAGGCCTGGTGGAACTGGCACAATGGGCCAGCAAGTTGACTTCTCCCCAGCTGCAAATTGGCCAGGGAAGGAGACGGAGAAATATATCATTGGTGACAATACGCTCATAATCAGAGTCGGAAAGTGGAAGGTCAGGGTTATCAAGATCATCAGTGATGAGGAATTCGAAGAGAAGGGTCTTTCCGCACCAGGCTGGAAGGATGTCAAGCCCGAAGAACCAATGTCAAATGACCTCAAGAGGATGAAGACATGGCACAATAAGAGGTATGTCGAGACAGCGCCCATACATAAGGTTCGTTCGGGAGAAGGCTCTCTTTTGGTGCCTGGAAGAGACAGACGCCGGATTTGAGGGGTGGTATACACAGTCACGCCTAAGAGCTCATAGGATCAAGTTCAATGGTTCATAGGATAGTGGGATAAGGGAAAAACAGCGAAAGTGATCGCACGTTCCGGTAACAACCCCTCAAAGTCCTCTGCCTGCTCATAGTCTTCCCAGCGCCCACGCCTCGAAATGACAAGATCGCCTACCTGGGAATGAAGCAGAAATCACGAAGCTTTAAGAGTTGTGGTCACTCTAAAAGATCCAAGGCGCGTATTTGCACGGTCCTAAAGCTGGAGATTGGCTAGAGTGGCTCGCAAGATCTATGGCTATTGTCAGTGTGGGGGGACAGTAGCCGCAGTATTTTAAACAAGCATATTCGATATCCGCCATGCTGGCTATCGTCATTTGGGCGGTAGAGATGCGGACGCTGCTCCGTTGAAATGTCGTCCCCTAGCTCTAAAACGGCTCGCATGATTTGCATGCTTGTTGCCGAGATGTGGAAGCCAGCTATATGGCGCGACTCGTAAGATGTCTATTACCCTTCGAATTCTTACCGACATTCTCGCATTTAGCTCCAAGAGCCGCCAGCATATCGCGTGAGGGCCACAGGCAAGCCCGTGCACATCTAAGAACTACAAGCACTCCTTTACACAGTCAATTTCTTATATACACGTTGATATGTTGTAAATTCTAGCAATTCTTTCTTAGTATCCTCGCAAACAATAGCTGACATGGCATTCCCGTCCATCTCAAATCTGCCCTTATGGTTCAAAACGCTCTGCCTTCTTTCTATCGCCCGACAGTCTGAATGCTCGCCCGTTAGCATCGTCGGCTACAATTCTCTCGTCAACGTCATAGATACTGCCTCTATGGTCAACACTAATGTTACATCTTCCGCCGATAAAAGCGCTACATTCACATTCAGCTCCACCAAACTGGGAGCACCGATACCCAACTGCGCCACCCTACCGGGCTACGCCGAATGGTTCCAGCCCAGCGAGAAATTCGACAACGGCGACTGTCCCAAAGCCCTCGAGCTCTTCTTCACAGACTATACTCTGGATCATGATGGCACCAAGTACGAGTTTCTAGCTTCAGGCGTGACTCCTGTTCATGGAATAGCCACGCAGAGGGTGCCCCTGAAGGTGGCTTTTGGTGCGTCAAATAAAGGGTGCTGATCAGACCCATGTTGACCAGTACATTGACTCTGGAACTAGGGACCTGTTACGTCGTCATCGCCATGCGCAACATGTTCGTCGAAGGAGAATTGCCCGGCGAGACACCGTCCAAGTCTGCAGGCTCAGACATTAGTTCTTTTGCGGAACTATACCAGAACGCCCTGGAGATCTATGCGGAATGTAGTCAGCCGGAGGTTAATCAACCTGGGTGGTATCCTGCAGGTAGGCCTCCCAAGTCATCCAACCGAACTGTCTCCCTTGCACCTCTCTGGTTGGATTCACTGACTGGGTCATCCAGGCGACTTGAACAGCATTGCCGTCTTTATCTGGCAAGCGGTGAGTGAGATCAATGAACGCGTTCAAATTCCTCCGCCCACAAGTTCCGATCTTACTCCTACGTCTGGGTACGGGTCCATTGGGGATTTGTTTGGTGATACAGCGTAAACAGTATCAATGGAGGGTGTTCGTATACACAGGTCAGGTTATGTAGGCGCATGGGGTCCTAATTTACAGCTTGGACGCGACTGCATTTATCGAGAAACATAAGAGCGGGCTCTTAGGGTTGTGTACAATACGCTGGGTAGCAAGAAAGCATGATTGCATCCGCAGGCAAGCTGCCAGAAGAAGCGGCAGTCTTGTGTATAGGCATTTTCCAGATGTAGTGCACCCATACGCAACGAGCCAAGAAAGTCTGCCAGATAATGTCCAGAAACATGAAACGCAGTGCTCTACGGGCCATAAACCTCCGACCACATGCCCATAATATTTAACAGTCGAAGGGTTCCCACGAATGCGAGTGCCACTGTTCCCGGCAGCGCGCCTGATCTGATGCCAGCTTGAGACGTAAATGAGCCTCGCCAGAAGACAACTGACTCGGTCAACGAGATATAATATAGTCTCAAAGTGAGACGTAAGCTGGTGCTGGGCCTTTATGTTTTCTGACGTCTCCAGGACTACGAAAAGCGCTATTTTTAGTAAGCGACACCTTACCAAGCCGTTACAGGCTTAGCCACCTTACTACTCAGCCTCTCCGAAACCCGAATTCGCTAAGCCACCCTCCATTCGCGTGACGAATTTACGACGGTCCGATTCAACGATCATACAAAACCAAAACAATCTCTTCTCTTCAAAAACCTCATTCTTCGATCTCACCTGCATACTCCAGTCCTCCATACACTCGTTTGCTCGAAGCTCAAATAGTGAACAAGTACCACTGTCGTTCCTAACTAATACAACCTCACATCAACCTCCAGCAACCGCGATCATGGGAAAAGCTGGCCGCTTCGCCTGCATCTTTGTGCCTATGGCCTTGACCATCGCCTCTCTCGTCTGCCTGATCATAGTCGGTCTTGGAGGAACGAACAAGAGCAACAGCTTCTACAACAAACTCTATTTCTTCAGAGCCAACACCTCCCACATCAGCATCGACCCTTCGTTGCTGAACCTCCCCTCCAACGCCCTGACAGACACGATTCTCAACGATACGACCTCCGTCGCCAAATCAGCCCTTGGTGTCAAGGACTTCTACCATGTCAGCTTGTGGAACTACTGCTCTGGAGACTTTCAGACCAACAGCAGCGGCAGCGTGACTGACCACGTCACCTACTGCTCGCCACATCAGAACGAGTTTTGGTTCAATCCGGTAGAGGTATGGGATCTCAACAACACTGGCATCGACCAGTTCTTCAGCAAAGAGTTGCGCGATGGCCTGAATACATACAAGACCGTTGCGAAATGGATGTTCATCGCCTACCTCGTTGCGCTCATCAGCACCATCGCCGAGATCTTGGTTGGCTTCTTAGCGCTCTTCTCACGCTTGGGCAGCCTAGCAACTACCATCGTGTCAAGCATCAGCTCCCTCTTCTTCATCGGATTTGCCCTCACGTCTACCATCCTTTACGCCACGTTGACGGGTACCTTCAACGATGCGCTGACGAAATACGACGTCCATGGCTCCCTCGGCAGTAGCATTTACGTGACGATCTGGCTCGGTGTTCTATTCTCCCTCGCTTCAGGCCTCTTCTGGCTTTTCAGCTCGTGCTGCTGCAGTGGAAGGAGCGACAAGATCAAGGGATACGGTGATGGACCAGCAAGAAGCAGATTCAGAGATCAACAAGGCCCGTACCAGTATGAGAGGGTGGAGAGTCCGTTGAGGGGCGGACAGGGCTATGGGGCGCCGCAGAAGGGATATCAGAGCGGGCCAGGGTATCAAGCGCCGCATATGCCTCTGAACAACGTTGGAGATAGGGGGACGGCTTATGAGCCTTTCAGGCATGAGGATGTGTAGGGCTTGTTTAAGAGAGTGACGAATAACCTTGGCATATTAGCGGCATTTTGCAGGCATTTTCTGGGTAGCATGCTATGAGATCACGTTTTCTTGTTTTAAATCTGCTCCAATCTGTTCACTTAGTGTGTTTCCTAAACTGCATTAAAACAAGCCTATGCCTCCCTCATCATTCCACAGAAACAATCATCATGGCCTCCACCTCTCTATCAGATTTTCCCTCAGAGCCCATCCCCCACATCTACAAATCCCTCGATGGCCAACACTCCATCACGGCTCTCGCCCTCACTTCTCGCAACTCCTACAAAATATCGCGCCTCAACACCTTCCCAACCACCAAAGCCGTCCTCCCCCATTCCATCGATCGCTCCGACCCCGCTCAAGAGCTACCGGTCATCCAACCCCGATCAACCCGCCCAGAAACCCCAAACCCCAAAACCAACCCCGTGACGAGATTCCGCAGCGCACCAAGCACCCACCGCACCCCACCCCCCACCAATGCCTCCGCTCCATGATACTCCAAGTAACTCATCCCCGAGCCGTCCAGACCCGAGCGAGTAACATTCAGCATTCACAAACACAGTCCCCACAAGTACCGCGTCCGGCTACGCGGCGGGCTGTACCTACGACGACGACGACGAAGAGGGAGCCCAGGATCCGCGCTTGCGGGCGGGCGGGCAGCGACGTTGGAGGAAGGATGGGGCGTGCGTGGCTGGGACGGTTGGTGGGGGGTGAGATTGAAAGTTGCAACGAGGACGCCGGTGTCTCATTGGTGGGATCTGCACGAGTAGGGTAGATTGTGCCTTTGGTATAATCGTGACAGACGGGACTCGAGTACGAAGAGTCGCTCTTTCGAGGCTGGGGTGGGAGTACTGAGCCACTTTAGCGTGCTTGAGGTCGGTCCGGAGACGAACATTTCGAGATGCTTTTGGGACTGAAAGATCTCGGGTTTTCGAGGAAGTTGGGGATGCGTTGGCAGGATGGCTGAGGCCTGCGGGAGAGAAGCGGTAAAGAAAAAGGACTGATAGCGTAGGTATCATCAGTCTGCACTTCAATGGATGTCGGTTGCTGAGCAATATGGTCGTCGCATAAGTGTTGCATGTCACTGGTGGTGTATCATTCCCCATGGACGATGTGGCTCCCCATCGTTATTCGTGGGAATAGAAAATTAATTCCTAAGACTTCTACTTTGAGTCCTTTCTGGCTTCCTTCCATTTCCTTTGCTGCCGCTATCGCTCGTGCTCTTGTCAAATTGACTTATCGCTCTTGCTGGCAGCCCATCGTTCTGTAAGAATGCGTCGCTATCGTTTCGTACTCCTATCTTCTGAATCACATACTCGATGTCTCCTTGTGTTCAATTGCTATTGGTAAGATATGTAAACAGTCAGATACATCATTCCGACCTTTCGTACTATGACAAGCGATGAGATTATTGACCTTTGTTTTGATACACACATATTGGCGTGTAAAATATCAAGTCTTCTGGTCGTGGCAGGTGCAACAGATAGATTTCTCTTTCGTATTAATCTCTCGGACAGCACAAGGATAAACGTTTACTATTTTCGTTGGGGGTGTGTTTGGAATACAGAGATCAACTTGATCAGATAGAGGATTCAGCTTCAGGGTAGTGCTTGAGACATGAGTGACTCAATCTAAGTAAGAGAAACTAACGTGAAAGTCTTTTTCCCGGCTTGAGAAGGCAACGTGTGAGCCATTCGAACCGCTGCTTGAGACATTTTGATCGAAGAAGAACAATCCAAAGTAGGGACGGGTGGTATACTGTGGAGGGAGAGAGGTTTATGGGAGTGTGTGTGTGTGTGTGTGTTCTCGTATTCGAGAGACTTCAAATGAAAAGGCCTCCTTGACCGACATCTCGTTCACACATATAGGCCGAAAGAACGAACCGAGTATATCCATCCTATAAGCGACAGCGACCTCGATGAGAAGGTACATGCGGCTGGTGGGAATTTGCTGGTGAGACTGGCGATACGGCACCAGGGATACTCGTATCATCCGAATGGAACGCAGGTCGTCCCTTCTTTCCTTCCTTCCTTCCTTCCTTCCTTCCTTCCTTCCTTCCTTCCTTCCTTCCTTTCCGATTGACGCCATCCCCCATCTGCCACATCACATCCGACATGCGCCAGGCGTTGATGCTGATGCCAAGCATTTGAGCATTGGCCCTTTACGGGGCTAATTACTAATTCATACCCCGAAACTATGAATCCTTACCGAATCATACCCCTAATTACTGAATCATACCCCTAGGGGTATGATTCGGTAATTTGCCATTCATGATAAAAATCGCAAAGGAGAAAATTCGCGACCTGGGCCATCCGACTATAGAAAAGAGGAAATATCTCCGACCGTATTTAATGGGTGACCTACCAGCTTAAATATATCAGACGAAAGCCGAGTGGGTGTTAGCAGCAGCCCCCACGGGGGCCCTATTTAGGTTCAAATAGGGGTGTCTGGCTGTCAAGCGCAGACACCCCGGGACCAGGCTTTTTTTGCGCTTGACAGCCAGACACCCCTATTTAGACCTAAATAGGGCCCCCGTGGGGGCTGCTGCTAACAGTGGGCTAAATTTGGCCCCCCAGCCTGTCTACACCCAGTCTGTGACTCTCACACACAGTCTTCACTCCCAATAGTCTACACAGCAAGTTTGGTAAATTACCGAATCATACCCCAAGCAATTAATCCTTACCGAATCATACCCCAAATTTTGGTGTAGGGGTATGATTCAGTAATTAGGGGTATGATTCGGTAAGGGGCTAATTACTAATTCATACCCCGAAACTATGAATCCTTACCGAATCATACCCCTAATTACTAAATCATACCCCTAGGGGTATGATTCAGTAATTTGCCATTACTTGGGGTATGATTCGGTAATTTGCCATTCATGATAAAAATCGCAAAGGAGAAAATTCGCGACCTGGGCCATCCGACCATAGAAAAGAGGAAATATCTCCGACCGTATTCAATGGGTGACCTACCAGCTTAAATACATCAGACGAAAGCCGAGTGGGTGTTAGCAGCAGCCCCCACGGGGGCCCTATTTAGGTTCAAATAGGGGTGTCTGGCTGTCAAGCGCAGACACCCCCGGGATCAGGCTTTTTGCGCTTGACAGCCAGACACCCCTATTTGGACCTAAATAGGGCCCCCGTAGGGCCGTCGCAGGGTCCCCGTGGGGGCTGCTAACAGTGGGCTAAATTTGGCCCCCCAGCCTGTCTACACCCAGTCTGTGACTCTCACACACAGTCTTCACTCCCAATAGTCTACACAGCAAGTTTGGTAAATTACCGAATCATACCCCAAGCAATTAATCCTTACCGAATCATACCCCAAATTTTGGTGTAGGGGTATGATTCAGTAATTAGGGGTATGATTCGGTAAGGATTCATAGTTTCGGGGTATGATTCGGTAATTAGCCCATTCGGTAAGGATTCATAGTTTCGGGGTATGATTCGGTAATTAGCCCGCCCTTTACGGCCTAGCCTATGAGACTAAAGTGCAGACCTCAATCAGCAAGCAATAAGATCAAAGCAAAGCTACCTATTCCCTCCTCGTTGATCTACAACTTACGCATCCGGGTCATACGAGATGCATGACCAAGCATATTACATCTTCAGACTGTTACCACTAGATAGCTGTTCGGGCAAATTACCGAATCATACCCCGAAAGTACGAATCCTTACCGAATCATACCCCTAATTACCGAATCATACCCCTACACCAAATCACACCCAAATATGGGGTATGATTCGGTAATTTGCCATTGCTTGGGGTATGATTTATTTGGTAAGTTGTCAAAGTGGCCTCAAACTACGAAGGAGATAATCCGCGATCTGGCTTATTCGATCATAGAAATAAGGGAGTTTCTCCGACCGCATTTGATGAGAATTCTATCAGCCTAAAAACATCAGACGAAAGCCGAGTGGGCGAAATTTCGAGCCCGGGGGTGTCCGCACTTCACGCTGCAGACACCCCTATTCGGGTCCCGTAGGCCCCGTAGGGCCCCCGAAGGAATAATTCGGCGGGGTAAGCTTCGGGGGTCAAACCCCGCCCCGAACCCCGCCCCGTTGCGCAGCGTAAATACCACCGTCATCAATAATCAAGTCGACGACTACTACCAGACGCTCAGTAAGCCTACCGCTACCATTAACTTCATTAAACCCTCTCATATCAGAAAGCTATCATTTAAGATCCTTATCAAATCATACCCCAAGCAATGGCAAATTACCGAATCATACCCCATATTTGGGTGAAATTTGGTGTAGGGGTATGATTCAGTAATTAGGGGTATGATTCGGTAAGGATCCATACTTTTGGGGTATGAATTAGTAATTCGCCCTAGCTGTTCGTTTTGCTCTCAAAATCCAAGTATCTCTTTCTACAAACCATTTATCCCTCTGCCGCTCCAGTACCCCTGCACAATCCATTGGAGCCTTCCACTTTCCATATAGTGCACGTAATAGCCTAGAGTACAACTTCTTAGAAGCGCTGCTGATGAATTGTCACCGTGCCATGGTCGTATCATTCTACTCCACTGTCCTTCTAGAATTGCAACGCGCCACAATGTCAGCAACATGTGTGATGCAATCGCGGACAAAAGCCTGCAAGGTTGCTCCCATTCTCAGAGCGCAGCCGGCAAAGAGATGGACTTTTGTTAACCTCAGCGAGCCAGAGCAGAGGAAAGAACAAGGGCCTCCGCCAATTTGTCCGCTCGAATGCAACGCGCGATTATCGTCAGAAGAAGAAACGGAGCGAGATAAAACGTCAAAGACAGCCTGGAGGTAACACAATTCGGCTTGACATCAGTGACTCGTCACCGTTGCTCGGTCAACGTTGCCAACCCCAGCACGCAATGATGACGATCGCTCGTGTTCCATATCTTGTGGGCATGCGGAATGCATCCATAAATGCAGATACTCTCCATCCAAGGTCCGTCAGGCCCCAAACAGCTACTTGAAGAAGATAGTATTGATCCATTCGATGCTTTGCCAATTGGAGGAGATAGTCGATACAATGGCTATGTTTTGAACCAATGTAAGCTTCTGTCGTACCCTCCCTTTGAGCGTGCAACCCCATATTCATGCAGCCACTGATTCTACAATGACAGTCAAAATTGGGGCTCTCAATTTCCGCCCGGTAGAAACCGGCAGAGGTCAACATGCTCTGACCAAAAGATGGATGCCCCACGCCGTGGCAGACCCTCTCCTCTTCCTCGCAACCCTCAATTTCGCTGCGGCCCACCTTGACAACATCCATGGAAGGCCTAGTAGTCCAAGGACAATAGCCCAGAAGATAGAGACAGTCCGTCTCATTTATTCGAGACTCCAAGGTTCTGTCGATTCTGTGTCCGCTACCACGATAGGCGCCGTGGCACTGCTTGCAGCAATGGAGATAATGTGACCCTATTCAAATGTCCTAGAGAATTATCCTCTCACAAGTCGTCGTTTGCTTCAATCATTGGATAACGCCCGATGACTTGGCCACGGCTTCCCCGAGCGTTCTGATTGTGCGGCATGGCCTCCTCTTTCTGGCTTTCTTTCACACCTCTAGCCCACTTCTACGTTAGCATCCAAAAAATTCCAGACCTATTAACGCTGACCACTCGATTTCAAAGCACGACTGGCAACCACCACGAGCTGAGCGTTGACATGGTTGCTCTCGAAGAGATGGTAAGGATGAGAGGCGGCTTGCAGCAATCGGCTTGCAGCAATTGGGGTGGGATGGGATAGTCCAGTTGTTCATCTTATGGTGGGTTATCACATGAGACGAAACCGGAAGTTGAGAAAGACTGGTGGCGACTAACTGGAGTCTTTCGTATCATACAAGCAATATTTGCTCTCCTCAGCCACGCTGTCAGCACCTCCTCGATTTCCGCGGTCACCAAACCACCCAATCACCCTTTCCGAATTTTCACCTTCTTGCCCGATTTTATATGACCGCGGTACCTCAGAAGAAGTCTGCAAAGATGATAGACATCTTCCACGACTTGCGTCATCTTACGGACCGACTGACCAGTTTTGACGACTCTATCAGACGTGGAGAGCTGATGTCCCTCAATAGTGTGCGACATAGCATGGAGAAATGCGAGATCTCGACTATCTGCTCTCAGCTTGCCGCATTGCCATGCTCATCTTCCTCAATCGTGACTTTTTCGGCCCTCGCAACCCGGATATCAGGCAACTGATGTGCCAATTGAAAGAGCTCGTACTTAGAAAGAAAGTCGAATCAACGATAAAGCAATTCTCCAAGTGCAATAGGGATACTATACATGGTCAATGTTCATAGGAGGCGTTCATTCACTGAACGAGGAAGATACAACATTCTTCACCAAGCGCATTGCAACATCTACGCGAGTCTGGCAGGCGAAAGGTTTTGGTAGCTGGCCAGAGATTTTGAACGGTGCAAAGAAGGTTGGTTGGGCCAATGCTCTACAAAATGCAGAGTGCGAAGTCTTTGGAAAGCAGGTTGAAAGATTCACTGACAGCAACTGGGAACTTGCCCAAGGGCTATCAGCACATACATACTAGCCTGCCAAACTCGAGACACTACTAATTGCTTAGTCGTCGGCGGCAAAGGTTACATGTCATTCGCTGTTCTTCCTCCCTTAACTAAAAGCCCCACTTGCTACCGTTGTTATACCAACTTACACTCTGAGTAACAAGTCGGACCCACATTGTTTAGTCTTCTTTCACGAGAAACGACATCATAAGATACTCCCCTGTTTGTCTAACACTCATATCTTTCCCCACTTTGTGCGTAGCTCGTTGTCACCTTCCAAGACAGATCTCTACCTGCTCTTCTTTCTTCTTCAGCAACAACAACAACACTCCACAGCAGCATCTACCAAAATTCTCGACTCGAGGCCTTCATGGCTTTCTTCTCCCTCAACATGGATCCTTTCAATCATAGTCTCGCACCATACACGCCGAACCCGCCTTCCACTAAGCCGACTCCCTACCCCCATGCATTCGGCGCCTTTCGCTCAACCCGCCAGACCCCCGATCCGAACTATCCCAAGAGCTTCGACCGCAAGCCCACCAACTCGACGTACTACCTGACCTTCTCAAGCTACTACGTCCAGCATCTCCGCCCCTCCCCTCACTGCACGACACCCCACCCGAGCTATGAAATCTACCACAAAACAACCCCAGCGTCCCCCGACCGAGTACACGACATCGCCATTCTCCGCGAGGACGTCGACAAGCGCGGAGGCGTCGCCGTCATAAACTACATCCGCGATACCCTCACGACACTCATCACCTACCCCAAGACGGGCCTGACGCAAGATCTCGTGTGCGACCCGTCAAGGTTCGACGACGACGACCGCACCGGTGCCGTGGTCCACATGCGGGACTACCTCGTCCGCATCGGTCACGAGTGCTGCGTCTGGCAGCCGCTGGGGCCGGCGAGGGCAAGCAAAGACGGAACGATCGTGGGCTTGATGGAGCTTCGCAACGTCATGGATGGGAAGCTGGGGGCGGTTTTGGGCGGCGAGTTGGTCGACGGGCCGGATACCAAGAGGCGCGTGATGGTGAGGGGGGAGTGGGCGCCTGGGAGTGCGGTAGGTGACACTCGCTCTGATCATTCTTTTCTTGTACTTCCTCAGTTGTGAAGTTCCTATGCAGCGTTTTATTTCTCCAGGGAAAGAAGCACGAAGAGAAGATCGTCGAATCAGAAAACGGACGCAAACTGACTACGATCTCTAAACCCAGCCGTTCGAACAAGTCATCGCCAGTCTAGTCGCAATGCTGGGGCGCGAGTGCGACAGGGTAGAGCTAGTCAAGCAGGGGTGCGGGTTCATCTTGCCGTAGATAGACACATAGGACCAGTCGTGGTGTGGTTGATCAATTCCGTGTTGGAATCGGATGAGGAAGCTTTGACGGACGTGATGATGATGATGATGATGATGATGATGAACGAGAGCTTGAATCGATACCATTCTACAAAGATACAAAAAGCAGAAGCACCGACTGCATTCTATGTATGTATCATCGGAGGCAAAATCCCACAACGGTCTCGATCACATCCGTGCTATCTATCCTCTCGTATCCACATCAAGCACCAGCAATGCATTCCGCTTTGAAACCTTCGCTTGATAAACTGTAGCCCTTCCTGATTTCCAACCCTCGACTTCTACAACCCAGTCTCGAGCCTGATCCAAAGACGTGCCTGAAACGAGGACGGCCGGAACGGTGGCGTATCTGGATGCAGCCACGTCGTTTTTTTCTCTTCCTCTGATTACTCGGCCAAACAGTGACACCGTTGAACGAAAAAAACTCACCTTGCTCCCGCGTAAAACATTCACATCCGCTTCGTTCCTCTCATACCAGACAACAACACGGAAAAAACACCGATGGAAACAAGCAGACCGAAACCCCGACGCGCGAGCAAACGACCTCAACGTCCACGCCAGCCAATCAACCTACCTACCTACACCGCCGCCAGCATCTCATCTAACATTCTTCGACGCTGCAAGCAAGCCTCGCCCCGCATCGCCTCGTCCCAGCTCCGTCCAACACGCACAAACCTGCAAAGCGCGTGAGCCCCAGCCCCAGCCCAAACGGATGCGATCGCCGATCCGGGCGCCATTGGCCCAGAGCGGTTTTTCCGACACTGAATGCAAATACATCGTAACATGGTTGCATATTTTGTATGAAGGTCCGTACGTTGCTTGAGGTATCGAAACGGCTCCGATCGTTGAAAGCTGTCCCGAGGGCAGCGGTTGTTGTTCTCGAAGCGCCATCTATGTCAGCTGGATCATCGTCCGAAGGCTGTGAGTGTGGCGGGTTTGGTGCATTTGATGGAGTGTTATGGTGTTGGGGCTGTGTGGTTTACGTACTGCTGACTGACTGACTGCTCCGACGAGGTAGATCAGGCGCTGTTGATGCGGGCTACTTCGGCTGATTTGACGGCGTAGATCAGAGCAGTTTTCAAATCTGGGTCTCTGTGGTGGATGTTGGGAAGGGAAGTGCATATGTGCTGTGTCGTGGCGATGTGTGGCAGTGTTTAGCGGAAGCGCTTCGATATGCTAGCGTGCAATCACCACACTACTATTTGTTCTAAAGGCTGCGACTTTGAGAGTTTGGAACTGTGTTGTGTGACAGTGATGTTCGTTGATGATGCTGGAAGAAGTCGACAAAAAAATACAAAAATAAAAGCAAAGCCCAAAGTCATCGCCGAACCGAGCGAGGAGCAAAATGAATTTCATCCAGAGTACTAGAGCTCAGCTTCAGGATTCAATGACCCGGAAAGACAGTGCCCGTTCATGTGCTAAGGCTTATGCACCATCGATCGAACCAATAGCGCACTGTACTTATCCGTGGACCATCGAAAAAGCTTCTCCGAACGTTTTATCCAAACGCAACCCGGCCTCCCTAGTCTCCAATACTCCACCTCTCCATGCCGATTCCTGCCACGAGAAGCCAGCGCCGTCCATTCGCATCGCGATAAGCTGCTAGGGAGCTGGCGTCTGCGATAGAGGTGTACACATTCGCCATATGACTGATTGTGATACCCTCCGCTCCCTCTTGCGTCGTGTCGATCCCGACCTCCCAGATCTTCAGCCGTTGATCATTGCCCACGCTCGCGAGTATGAAGCCCTTCGGATTTTCACCTTGCGTGTCAGAAGTGGGTTTGCCGATGAAAACAGTACCCGTCACCGCACTTGCGTGAGCGCCGGGGATGAGTAGACTAGCAGCCTCAAATACCACCTCAGACGGGCTACGGATCCCCACACGGGTAAAAGCTACGGCGCCATCATCACCGCCCGTCACGATGAGTGTCTCTGACTCTGATATGGTCACAGAGTCCAGTGCCTTCACGCTACTTTGGTGGATTCTAGTCCGCGTACTCCAGTGCAATGGAGGACGTGTTGGCAGATCATCACCGTGCCATGACAAAGGGTTTGCAAGCGGCCAAAAAGCCAGATGTCCGTCTGTGCTGGCGGTACAAAGCCCGCTCAGGGTTTCGCCGATGTGTAGGTGGGCGGCTTGGGTGAGGCAGTATGTCGTGTAAGACCCTTCAGTCAGGAGCTCGAAGCTTTCCCGGCCCGTATGATAGCGAAACAGTCGTATCGAGGAATCTGAGTATACCTTACTTAAGAGGTAATCAGGCTCGTATGCAACATCGTCCGGGTCATGAGTCGAATGGATCTCCTCTGTCGCAAAATCCATGATCCGCAAATCCACTTCCTCGGTCACGGTTGGACACTGAGCCTCGCAGACGACACCGAATGTAACGAACGGCGCTGATTGCACTCGCCACACGAAGAACTCTTCACACCCAGCTGCGCTGAAGAGAAGCTGACCATTCGAAGACCACCGCAGTTGCTGGATGCCTGTTGTGTGCTTAGTGACGATGCTCAAGCACTTGAGTCTCGCATTGAGATCGAAGATACGAATGGCCGTATCCTCTGCGCCTGTCGCAACGAACCGAATTTCAACATCATCGCCCGTTTTGATTGCCGGTGATAGAGCCATAGCTTTGATCTCTCTTCCATGTCCTCCATGCTGGATGACTTGATGAGAAGCTTGCGTCTGCGAAAGTACATGACAAATCGAAGCTTTTGTGTACACAAAATTACCACCACCACTACCGTCATGTCGGTGTGCATACGCGTAATTTCTGTGAGCGCCTCCACAATCCACCGTCATGACCTCCGTTTTCTGTGACTCATTCCACACGACAAAGTGCTTGCTCCGAAACCCCCAAAGCAGAAGATCCTTACTCGTCGGATCGACGCACGCTCCCTCAATATTTGGACCGAATGGGGGCATACCTAGGTGTATCGTCTGGAGGGCCACACAGAGCTTGCTATTTTGGAGTTTGTGAAAGACGTGATGGATTGCCCATTTGCCGTCTCGACCGGCGGTTAATATAGCGATTCTGCCGGTCAGCTTTGAGACGTCGCGGGGCACAATCTGGATCAGAGTGATGGCGTCTTCGCCATGGATTCTTTGGAAGCAGTCGGGGGTGACATCAAGTGCCGAATTTGGTGTGGTGTGGGTCAGGTCGTATATCGCTATATCTCCGTTGCGGGAGCCTAGGATGATCCATTTTTCAGTTTCGAGGAAGCAAGAACTTGTTACTATGAACTTTGGTTGCAGGGTAAGACAGTATTCGTGGATTGCTGGAACGCCTGCCTCTTCCTTCGTTAACTGGCCATCAGGATGCAGTTCTGGCGAGAACATGAACACAGTTGCCTGAGAAGAGCCAAGGCATGTGGCAAGCACCCCTATCATCTCTCTTTGGTGGCTCAATCGCAACCACCTGTTCCACGGCTCGTAAAGACTATGGGCCTTGAGAAAGCCCGCTTTGCCGGTGAGCTTGCCAATGGCATCAATTTCTCTGCTGCGATGATTGTACAAATTAATTGTGCCGTCGGTGCCTGTCAGCAGGGCTATCCCAAGAGAGGGGATAGCCGTTGCAATGCAAGACGAAGTTAAACTCGTGTGGTAACCAACGTGCTCCCAAATCACATTCCGACAACCATCCAGGTTGCTTGCTTCTGCATTAGAGATAAAGGTGCCGACCAGAAGGTTTCCATGCTCAGTGGTAGTCAGGACCTCATTTTCTTTGATCCACGTGTAGGTCTTGAAAGCGTCTGGCTTCTTTTGTCTACTTTGGTTGCCTAGGGCATTCTTACTCATGGATGGCGAAATCCCATATTCAGGCTCTTCAGGTTCCAAACTCTCTGCTTGATCGCGCGTATACGTAGCCTTAGCCATATAGTCCTTCTTAGGCCCATCAACATCGAATACCGCATGCCACTGTATAATCTTCGAATCTCTGAAATGAAAAGAGTAATCAGCGTTGTAGTTGTCCTCAACACAAAGATGATATCCACTTGCGGACCAAACTTCAGGGCTCGGATCGACACCGAGATCCGTTTCTCGAAAGTCCAGCTTATGGAAGAGGTAGTCTACAGCGCTACCATCATCCAATTTCACAAACCACACACTGATCGCATCGGTCATCCTGCTATACCGATACACATACTGACGAGTTGCCCTCATCGTCAGGCCTTGCTGAGTAATGAAATCCCCACTCTCGGAATATAGATACTCAGCATCGAAAATACTGTCTGTAGGCGGTCTCTCGGCGAAATTGGCTCTACCATCCAGTTTTCCAGAAGGATAGGCTGACATAAGACTGTCAAGATTTCGTGTGAGCTTCCAAGAGCCTTTGAGGGAGTCAAAAATGTTTTCTGTTGAGGATTTTGCTTTGCCTGCTTGTGTTGGACTCGGTTCACTCGATGTGGTCTGGAAGGTCTTCGAAACCTCATCCATCGTATACTGGCTCGTCCAAGCACCCGTCCGCGTAGGAATTCCATGCAGAAGGGGCTTGTACGCTGTGATACGTCCGTCAGCTCCGCCAGTAGCAACAATACACTCTGTACCAGATTTTCGGAAGACTGCCATTGCCCATACGTTCTTTCCCGAGTGAAATGAGTATGTAGTCTGATGGCTCAATCGATAAACATGATTGTGAGGCGTCCAACTTGATCGGCCAATATCAAGAACAGGACTCACACGCCAGATTTGTGCGGTGCTGTCTTCTCCGTAGGAGATCAAGTCCCAACATCCGTCTTTCTGGATCAGGAAACGCAAGCCCCAGATCCGGGAAGCGTGGCCCATTATCATAGCCAGGCACCCAGTCGAGTCAACTTCATTGGTTTCATCTAGTAAGCCAGCTTCGGAGTTGTTGAGTTCTCCATCTGACAACGGTTTCACCTTTTCACTGCTGCTTGTGCCCGATATGTCCCATGTCCTGATGGTCCTATCATCGCTGCAGCTGGCCAAGATACGTTTCACAGTATCAGTCTGCGCCACCTCTGATATCCTGACTCCAAAGACCGACCCCTCATGTCCAGTAAATCTATAGTGCAACTTGACCTCCGGAGATACAGAAGGATCAGAAGTAAATGACCATAGCAAGACCTCTCCGAATACCGTACCCGCAGCGACGAGAAGGCGCGGGCCAGCATCCGCCCAAAGCATGTGCGCGGAGTACAGAATCGAACTGGGTCCTGAAGCGATACGGTAGAGCGAGCGGGTTTCTCTCGTTTCTGCGGATTCTTCAACGAATTTTAGACATAGTAAATCATTGTGTGCGGTCACGAGGATGGCTTCGACAGTGTTCTTTCCAGATCCGCTGTCGGTAATATTGGGGTGTCGGAAGCAGGCATCGAGGATCCAATCATCCCAGAGGACTTCCGGCATGTGTTGATGAATTTTGACCAAGGGTTTCCCGTTTATATTAAGATCTGCTTCGATGGAGATAAGACAGATGGATCGGCCACCCCAGATGAGGCAGGTTCCATTATTTCCGGCATCTTCCGGCAAGGATTTGCAGACAATGCCATGAATTGCCTGCGAGTCAAATATTCGCTCGGTACGAATCAACGTTCCTCTTGTATAGTCGAAGACTTTGAGAAATTGGCCCTCGCCCGCAAGTAGATAGGGTTTGGAGGTACCGAGTGCTAGGAAAGCCAATGCAGTGACGGGATTGAGGGCGCTCTCGACCTTTGGCACGGTAATTTCATCCATACATGCCGCATTGAGTTGAACAAGCGGAAATGAAGAGGTCCGCCATTCCCTGGCTGCATTGTGGTGTGAAGGAGAGATTGAGAGGGGAGACGCAAGCCGGGTTGAGGCTAGGCGGGAACAGCGGTGCAATTCCGGCGCACAAAATCCACATGACATGGTGACTGAACAGTGAAAGCCTGGCCAGAAAAAAGCATATGGGCCTCCCTAATGTGAGGATATATAAGCAAAAAAATTAAATTGACCGATGCAAGGCTCGACTACAATTTTGTAAGACAAAGCCCACAAAATGGAATTGGGGGTAAGAACTGACACTTGCGACCTTCTCCGACTCACGTGGGTAGTGTAAAGGAGACATAATAACCACTATACTAATCGGCCGGGTTTTGCCACAACGCAATCAAAGTCTTACTATTCCAAGATATATTGTTTATGTTTTTCCGGCGACACGTTTCTAAAGTATTCTTTATGGACTACAACAGCACTTGCAGGAGTTTGATTTGTTTTGCTAATCATTGATGATGCCGCTAATTCGTAGACCACAAGCTAAATGCGACAAAGCGGATTGGGGTATCTATGCTAATGAATGAACACGCTGGTCGAAAGCTCGAAGCAATATATGCCCTTCCACAGCAAAGCATGAGTCTGTATGTCACATCTCCTCCGAGCGCTATGCTATGAAGCTACAAGTTCCATCTCATGATATCGATCTTCTTCGGCTGAACACCACTACTTGCAGCTTTGTATACTTTCTCGGCATCTGCTGGCTCCGCCCGGTTGGCTTTGGCAAAGCTGTTGCCGTTACCCTGCCGGATCGAAGTGTAAGCTCTGACGAAGCTTCTATATGGTGAACTCTCGTCGTCCCACCATTTAGACGGCGTACCTTCGTCTTGCTTTTCCGCCGCCGCATTAGTATGAGGTGGAGAAAAGGGACTCGTGGTGCTCATACTCGAGGTTTCAACAACGCCTCTCACCGCCTCGAGATCTGACCTCAATATCTTCCGATCTTGACTCGGATGATCGGCGCCTCGCCAAGCGTTATCCCGAACGCGAGTATCTATGGCATCCTTTATTCGATTGCGCGCCTCACGAACATTGACTTTGCTCGCAATTTCGGCCAGCAGCTCGATCATGGTCTCTGAAAATACTTGCCCACGAAAGTATTCCAGCTCTAGCAACTCATAGGCCCTGATCCCCCAATTGGACTGAATCACTCTGTGGCAGGTGTTTAGCAAACCTTGGTTCTGCTTCGCGTCCTTGGGGGTCGACTTTGCCGAGAGTGGTAAGCGGGCGTTGCTGAATCCTCCGACGTGGACCTCTCGCAGCTCTGAAGCAGGGAGTCGTTCCGGAGAGTTGGTTGTGGTTGCGTTCGGTGAGCTCTGATGGACATCATGATCAGACTCTTTCCAAAGTAGAGATCGCCGATTGCTCTTGGTAGTGTTTTGGATTGAGGTCGTGGCGGGTACAAGCGGTGATCGAATTGATTGTGGAAGTGGAGGCTTATACGAGCCTCGCGTTGTAGGAGGAGTATAGGGCACCTGTTGTAGGCTGCCGGAGCTATCTCGACGATACTGCAACGGTCGTGGCGCACCAGACACACCGTTGACTAGATGTGGAACACTCGATTGGGGCAGTATTTCTCCTTGCTTTGTCCTCTTGGCCTGCTCGTCTGGCGGATCGTCCGCTGTGAGATCAATAATGACCCGCGATTCGGACGGCTTCCGCTGAGTTTCATCAGAGCTCGCCGGCTTCGGTGCGGATTTGGTTCCTACCAGCTCCAGTGGCCTATCATCGTTGGCAGGTGCATATTCATAATGCATCTTCTCAATAGCGGGGTCTGTCTTGGAAGTGAAAATATGCTCCACCAGCTCAACGCGAAGCTCATCTTCCTTCATAGGCTCGACGTGCACCCTATCAGCACTAGGCTTCCGTGCGACGATAGCGAGTGCTTCATCTAGGCTTCGTCGATTGATGACACGGTTTTGATACTGAGGCGCCTCAATTTCAGTTTGGTAGAATTCTTCGTAAGGTACGGCATCCTCTGCTTCTTCGGCACATCGTCGAAGGTACTGGGGATATTCGAGCTTGTGTCTGACGATGAAGTCATCCCACAGAGATTGATGCTCCATTCGATTGGCTTTTACGAGCTGGCTGATTTTTCTGCATATAGCCGCGAAATGATTGATGTCTCCAGGGTAGGAGGGATACGTTGCTTTGAAAATATCGAAAATGTTACGAGGTGCGGAATATTCCTGCTTAGTGATTTGAATCGGCAGCTGTATTGCGCTCTGGTGCTCTTCGACTGATTTCACTTCGAGATCTGACATAGGGGTGCTTAGTGGGACAACAGGTTCAACGGCCGCAGGAGAAAGATGTGGTTGAATATCTCTATCAGACTCAGCGGCGAAGACCGGGACGGCAATAGATAGAGACGTGGTTTGTTTCATGGGCTCGTCCGTGTGAGCAATAAATTTCAAGGGCGTGATGTCATGATTGACCGAGACGTGATGCATCGGACTGTTTGTGTCTACTTCTTCAAACCGTTGATGCGATGCGCGCTCCGTTGCAATCTCATCAGGCATTGGTATGTCTGCGTCCACTGTGACTGGTTGCTGTTGAGATGTAGGCTCCGGTATAGTTTTTCCAGACACCTGAGTGTCTGCATTGTCTCTGAACGATGTTTGTTGATATAGGGATTCTAGCGTGACGGTGTCGTGCTCAGCGACTTGATCTAATCTTACTTCTGGTGTCGGCGCATTGCTCCCCTGCTCGGCGATTTCGTCTGCCCGAGGATGTAAATCTTTGAGGGCTGTGTCTGATTTTGAGTCCACCGGCCGAGCGTCCTCATCAGTGTTCACCAGTTGACCATGGCTCGCAACCGTCAGGTCAATCTCTGACTCGACATTCTGATCTGCGCCATCATTTGCGTTCGCAAGGTCATTCTCGGTCTTCTGGTCTGGCGACTGAAAGGATACATCAAGCTCGACAGACTGAGCTCGCTGCGCTTCATCAGTAGAGACGTAGAAGCTTGCCTCCATCACCAGGCTCTGCTCTGCGTCAGGACCTTCGACGTCTGTATTCTGCGCAACGGACATGAGAGAGTCTGCTTCGGGATCAAAGGATGGATTCTCTTGCGCACCAGGCTTTGTACCACCGCCGTCTGGTTCCATAGAAGTGGTACCATTCGGAAGCGGTGCAGCATCCTTCATTTCTTGCATTGGAGATCTTGCCGACAATTCTTCGAACTCGATCTTCTTCTGGCGCTCAATCTCAGTATCAATCGACTGGTTTTGTACAGTCACATTCCCAACGTTCTTTTCCACTTCTGCATTGCGCCGGTCAGCCCGGATCGACCCCGTGAGTGCGGTGAGGTTTATATTTGGACTCTTTGTGGAAGTACTGGTCTCGCTACTTCTTCTGGAAGCCAAGAATTCCGGACGGACTGGCCGGGACCGCTCTAGTGGATCTTCTGACGTGGGCCCCGGAAAAGTGATGAAAGACACTGTGGGGCTCATCGTAGGAGTGCTGCTCTCGCTACTTCTCCTGGAAGCCAAGAAGTCCTGACGGTATTGCCGAGCTCCTTCTGATGGATCTCGCGGAACCTCTGACCTTTCAATGAAGTTAAAGGCCGACGGGACCTTGAACCTTTTCAGTCGCTTGGCCACATTTGGGGATACAAAGCTCGAATCTGCAACTTTGCGCTTCATCTCAGGAGCGACGTGGGTGGCATGGTCAGACGTAGGGAGCTGAGGTGGAGGGTCTATGTGATTGTCCTCGGGTGTCGGCGACTTCTCTGGTACTGTTTGAACTTCTGCATTGGCTTCGGAGACCACGGATGGGTGATTCCACCTCGAACTCTGGCTCTGGCTCTTGGTCATGATTAAGGATGCGTCATCTGGCTTATCTGCCGCTGTCTCTGCCTTCCTCCTTTCTTGTTGGACTTCAGCGATCATTTCATTGGGTTTCTCGAGAATGCCATTGGTCATTTCTTGGCTGTTGTTTTCTTCCGCAAGCCTCGCAGCAACCTTTGCAATACTTTGGTCCTCGACGTTGTTAGAGCTTCCATTTTCACCATGAGCCTCAGCGGTGGAAGTCTCGGGGCCAGAAGTGACTGATGCCGACACAAATTCAGTATCGTCATTGATAGTGCCATTCATAAGAGGATTAAAGTTCGCCTTTAACGGCGAAGATAGAATTCTGGAACCCGGTAGTGATTCATTGTGCGCACGACCATTGACGTAAGGGGTACGTTTGACTTGCGTAAATGGGTCCGGTGGCTGCGAAGCAGTGGAAGGAAAATGTTGCATCGGCGCGCTACCTGCAATGGAATGGGTCTCTTCGTTAAGAGCGAGTGGGACTGTCATCTCTAGGTCTGACTCTGGGGTCGGTGATGCTGGAAGTAAGGGCGAAAATGTTTCCTTGGCAGCATGGGTCTCAGCCGGATTTGTTGCTGCAGATTGGACCGGAGCCGGCTGCGCATCAAGCAGCAAGTCACTATTCTGTCCGAGTAAAGGTGACATCGAAGCTGAGATTTGTACACTATCCGACTCATTGTTGGCCCATTTATCAACGACTTTCTGTCCAGACCCTCCGTCACGCTCACTCCAGGATTTTAACCCAGGAAACATGGGAGTAGACTCGCCAGGCACAGTAGGAGTGGCACTCCCACTATTGCTTGGTGTGGCTGGATTGCCATCATGGTAACGCTATAACAATCAGTCTTGCTCAAAGAACCAATGATAGGACAACGGACTTCGATGTGGTATTTGAGACTACCGGGACTTGCATAAGACTTGGTGCAATCCTCCACAGGGCACCTGAAGTTTTCGAACGATCCTGTACTGGGGTGATGACGCTGGAAGTGATTAGTAGAAGCTATCTCATCGACTGAATCACTTATCACTTACATCTACATGGTATTTTAGGCCGCTAGAATTCTTGTATGACTTGTCACAACCTGGTGCTTGACACGTGAATCGATGGACCTCTTCGCCAGCTGAAGTGGATGTAACGCTAGGTGATGAAAGACCAGGAGACACCATGCTAGGAGATCCTGCTCCTCTAGAAAAACGCTCTGCTGATATCGAAGCTGGTCGCCCCAATGGCATTGAATAAGATGAACTTGATGCGTGAGACTGCCTTCGTGAAGACGAGATCGAGCGAGGATTACTTGATGTCTTTTGGACTGAGTGATCAGAATATTCGGCACTTGCGAAACTGCTGTCCGGTGGTAGCTGATCACGCTCAGGCGATAGGGGCCATTGTCCTGAGGATACAGGTATATCTGATTCCGAGTCGGCTGTTTGGTCAATTACCGCACTTGGGGTCATTGAACCGTTTTCTTGATTCCGTATCTTTGTTGGCCGTTGAGCACGGAGGTCCGCTTTCCGATTCAGCTTCTTGAGTAAAGAGATTGGTATGTTTGCTGTGGGCTCGCGCTGACCAGGCTCTGCTGGCAGCCAAGCTAAACGATTGGTCAGATTTACTGTATGAGAATCAAGATTACTTGGAATCACTTACAGTCCGCACGGTTCAACAAAGCCTCTTGGTCTTTCGGAATTTTCACGTCTTTGCTTCTAATTCGATTTTGACCGGTGTTTTGACCGGAGACCGAGGTTGTAAGTTTTGAAATGGAACGATCTGAGAGGTCCAATGGGGCGTTAGGGTACGAATCTGCAGTTTTTGATATCGAGGAGCTGGCTGACCGACTATGGAGTGCGTTGATGGAGGCTTCGGTTACAGCTGCCCTAGATCCCGCCTTCGTGTCCAGGTCACAATCTACACCCAAGCTCCCACAGTCTTGGTCGATCCCATGTACTCTATGACTGTCGGCTGCTTTCTTTCTTGGGGTCTTGTCCGGGGACTGTCTTTTTCTTTTCTGGCTTTCAATGGGAGCTCTGGTAACATCATCATCGCCGGGAGCGAGAGTGGTATCTCGAGAAGCTGTGTTCTCTTCCTCAACGACAGCGGGTCCGATTGAGGCCGCAGTGTACCCTAGGGAATGCACAGTTGTTGGCTGCGGAATAACCTCTGGTACCGGTAGAGTACGCTTATGATGTTGGAGTAGGCCTAAGAGAGCTTTGGTGCTATTAACACTTGGTCTCTGAGGGGTTGCCTGCACTTGAAGGGGACTCAAAGAAGTCGCTAAAGAACTCCCGTATTTTCTCTTTGTTGGTGGAGGTAATGACTTGACACTGTTTGCACTGGAGATAGAGCCTATGTTGATACCGGTAGTTGGATCTGATGGCTTGGGCTTGCTAACAACAGACGCGTTAGAGCGAGGTGCCTGAGTTGCAAAGCCTATCTGGCTACCCTGATTCTCCCCTGCGTCGGAGGTCTGTGTGCAGGGCTGAGACCTGATTGGTGACGCAGCGGCTGACTGGTGGGAGTGTGCGTCCGGTCCGTGTCTTCGCAAGTCTGCTAGCTTGTTCAAAAGCTCCTTTGTCCCCTCCCTGCTCTCAATAGCCTGAGGGGCGACCCCAAAGTTACCAGATCCGTCCGAGCCAATGCTCTTGAATTCTTTGACATAGAGCGTAAGCCTTTTATCTCTTGGACCAAGATGTGTTGCGACAATCTCGAAGTCGTGCAGTTGTATGAGGCCTCCAACGGTTCCCTCTGTAAGATTTCTTTTGTTCTTCTTAGCGTATCTCTGAGACGCCTGATTGGTGATGGAAGCATTGACACGTATAACGCTGTCAGAAAGTGTGACTTGTATAGGCTCGTCGAAGGTCAAGAACTACACTCGCAGGGTTAGTAAGATATAGCAATAACGGGTGTTTGCTAACCTTAGTGATCTGAACAACGGGTCCCTTTTTTGTAGATGTTATCCTCAGATTACTGCCATCATCATACGATAGCCCTCGGGGCTGCCCAATCGATGGATGTTTGTTTGCGCCTTCCTCCTTATGACGTAACGCCTCACCCAGCTCTCCCTCTATAGTGGCCGCCAGCCATGGCTCTAGAACGTCCATACTCCTTTCCGTGCCACCATACGTGGTTTATACAGTGGTTCGCAAGTCAGTGGCATGGTCTAGCAAGCAGCGGAGTCGACGAGACTCCTTCAGCTGTGGTGACCCAGTCTTGAAAGCCGTAGATATGATGAGGAAAGCTTCAGTTCAGTTGGGGTTGCTGAGGTGGCACCTAAGCGGCCTGGTGGTCTCTGTAGAACGCGACCGAGGTGTGTAGAGAACGTGTAGAGGTACCGGTGAGGCGATCTGAGTACAAGGATACTTTATTTTAGGCGAGCGGTTGAGATTCCGCTGCGTGCCAAGCCCTTTGATAGCGGAACAACGAAAAAGGAAGTAACATTTAACGTCTTCTCCCTCACAAATACCGAGAGAAAGCCAAAAGAGGAGCTTCATGACTCTCAGTCGACGGATGGTGGCTTACTTCCTGGATAGCGGAGATGAAGTGCAGGATCATTCCAGTAGAGGAGCGTACACATCAACTCGTCTAAGCGCTGCGGGGGTGCTACTTCAAACGGCAGCTTTCCATGGAAAGTGTAACTAAGGGATGAGCATGTGTGCTTGTCATTTGTCGGACATCCTTTCCAATGCTCCAGCGCACCGCAGTACCATGAGACGCTCTAGGGTATCTACGAAACATGGGTTCCAAGTCTATACGAGACGCCAATAGTCCATCTGCCTCATCATTTCTCCTTCCTCAACTTCGCCATTCGCGGCGTGGATCTCTAACCTCTCTCTCTAGTGCTAACCAACTCGACAAGGGAGCTCTCTCCCAGGCTCTTGACCAGATTCATAGCACCGCGAGTCAGACCGAGACTCTCACAACCTTCAACGAATACACGTCGCCCCCAGCCTCATCCTCTGGACCAGATACCAAAGGCATTGCAAGCGAGCTCCAGGGAGGCTTGAGTGGGCTCTACAGCAGATTCAGGGCGTCGGTTGGAAATGTGAAAGATATTGTCAACCTCGCAGCTGAAGATGTGGCGGAAGAGAACGCGTCCTTGAAGAGCCCGAGAGCGGCCACATATAGTCCGAAGCCGCTTTCTAAGCATGTGTTCGAATCTGCACGGGACCCAAGCTCCTCCAACAGTACTACCCAAACCACGTCGGCCCCAGGGTCCGGGCGACAGTCCCCACTAGGCATCGTGGACACTGAAGGAGAGCATCACGAAACAAAGCAAAGCCTCAAGCCGTTTACAAAGTCTCTGGTTAGCGCCAGTACCTCGGCAAAATCGGCAACGGGAGCTCTCGCTGCACTCAAATCATCCTCCGTACCGCCGGCGCAAGTTGCGCAGCCGATTACGATCAGTCCAGCGTTAGTGGATGTCAACATTAGTACAGTGAAAGGAGTAGGCGCCAATGCAGATTCAGTCTCTGCTGCCAGAACAGCAACTCCTACCGAACCGCAAAGATTATCACGAAACTTCCGAAGACAGAGCTATTTGGCTGAACCGCTTGCTCAGGGAAGCGTGGATGCCTCTGTGTCCAACCCTTCACAAGGCCTCATATCAAGGAATTCAAGCCAAGGTGTTCCTAAGCAACAAGGAGATGAACCAGTACCCAATGACGCCAACAGCGCTTTCAAATCTCCTGATATACCCAGGGTCCTTGGGACGCGAGCTATGTCTACGGACAGCGTGCGCCGCTTTCCTGACCTCGAAGAAGGATCTGATGAGGCGGCATTTACTATGACAGGTTCGTCATCTGACCCGAAAAACACCCACATGGGTAGACCTGCTATGGTAGTCTCGAATTATGGCAATGGGCAAGATGATATGTTCAGCGTTCCTGACAGTAACAACACTAGAGGTGCAACAGTTGACGACGCTGCTAAAACAGGAGGGGGATATCAGACCATAGGTGTGGCAATGCGGAAGACCGTGGCGCCACCTCTAATCACTAGGTCTCATCCGTCTCCTCTGAGCATGTCTCGGGCCTCTTCCCATGATACCGAAAGCTTGAACAACTCTCCACTTCCGACAAGGTCACGAAAACGCCCTGCCGGATCACATGAGACACTTCCAACTCAAAGCAAAAATTCCCAACATATAGCATCAGCGGCGACTCACCGTGATTCTAGGACTATGAATGTATTTTCTCAAGTCAAGAACAAGGTCTTAAACAAAGAGTATTGGATGAAAGACGAGAACGCGAGGGACTGCTTTTATTGTGGAGACTCATTCTCAACGTTTCGGAGAAAGCATCATTGTAGTAAGTCCAACTGTTCATGTATTGTTTGGCATTCAAGTGACACGTGCACAGGGACATGCGGTCAAATATTTGATGCAAAATGCACATCTCTTCTATCTGGAGAACACTTTGGACAAGCTGGCATGCTGCGTGTATGCAAACCCTGCGAGGGCATCATCAAAGGTGATGACGACTCCTCGGAGATATCGGATGACGGCAGTCTTTCCATACGTGGTCTGAGACCTAGACATGGCTCTACAGGAGCGGGTGATGTCCTTGCCAGTCCTGTACCTACTGCAAGCCCAACCGCTACAAAGGGTTCTCGTCGAAGTCCAAATCAACCAGATCTTACGGTTCCTATGATGTCGATTCCAGCGACTCGTAAAGCAGGCGGGGACGCTGGGAACAAACCTCTTGTCCTAGAAATTGAGGCCGAGCGAACACTATTGCGGCCTTCCTCGTCTCGGTCTCTCAAATCATCTTTTGCCGTTAAGTCATTCTCGTCGGGCCACCGACGCTTCAATTCGCGGCATCAGTTCCAACGTAGCTTTAAGCCGGTCAATGAGGACAACGCTCCGTTTCACCAGAGTCCCGTGAGCGACAAAACAATCGCTGGCCGATTGCCTGCTTTTCACGATGATAATATCATCGATCCCGATCTGGCTCCATATCTGTCTGACGAAGGGTCGAGTGGTGATGAACAGGTGGGCATTATGGCTGCCTTGAATGGTGATGGGCTGTCTCGAAGTCATGACAACGAGAGGCATGCATTTTCTGGACTGCTTGCTTCCTCCAGGAAGGCACGATCAAGGGCTGGAGACAAGAGCATCAGTGGCGTCACCTTTGCTAGTAGGGATGCAGACACCCATAGCCTGAACAGCTCAAAAACAGCAAATATCTCTCGGTCCAAAAGAAGAAACCATAGCGTCGCAGGCAATCCGCATCTGCGGCCTTCGCCGAGAGGCCATCGAGGCAGCGCAGCAATAACGAATTTTGGCTTGAATATACATGAAAGCCCCAGCACCTCTAATCTCGCACAAGTAGCCTCGTCCGCAGAGTCTGTAGTAGCATCTCGAATGATACGGAGCTCGTCAATGAGAGGTGCTGCTGCACCTGCCATCGAGTTGAACAATGCAAGTCTCCGTCATGTTCGGAAATTGCTGCATCAACTGCTACAAGATTCTAATGTGCCGAATGTCGCCAGTTGGGAAAAGGCACTTGTGCCTATCCTACTGAGAGCCACGGATGACGTCAACCCAGATGTGCAAAATGGCGACGATATTGACATCCGACACTACGTGAAGCTGAAGAAGATACCTGGAGGACGACCTGGCGACACTGCTTATGTCTCAGGACTAGTTTTCACCAAAAACCTCGCCTTGAAATGTATGCCCAGGAGCATGTCCCATCCTAATATTTTGATTTTAACGTTTGCCCTCGAGTACGCCCGTCATCAACAGCATTTCATGAGCCTCGAACCAGTCATAAGACAAGAACGAGAATTTTTGCAGAACCTTGTAAATCGCATAGCTGCTTTGCGACCGCAGCTCCTACTGGTAGAACGCAACGTCTCAGGCCTCGCGCTGGAATTTCTAGAGCAGGCAAATATAGCTACAGCTTACAACGTCAAGGCGTCTGTGCTGGAGGCTGTGTCTCGATGTTGCCAGACCAGGATCATATCATCGATTGACAAGCTTGCAATCAAGCCTGCGCAAGCCGGGAAATGTGCAAGTTTCTATCTCAAAACATATGTCAATGAAGGCAGAAAGAAGACCTACATGTTTCTCTCTGGTTGTGCGAAGGAGCTTGGTTGCACGATAGTGCTTCGAGGGGACAACGATGCAACGTTAGCTAAGATGAAGCGAATCACCGAATTCATGATATACGTCGTCTACAACTTGAAATTAGAAACCTGTCTCATGAGAGACGAATTTGCATCAATCCCGGCAAACACGGAAATCGGATCTACGCCTCCAAGCAAAGACAGCCTACCCAAAGCCTTTCGACATCTTCTCTCCGACAATCCGAACGGTGAGAACAGCCGTATCGGAACCTCTTGGCAGAGACGAAAGGAAAGCAAAAGCGATACTACTGCAGATGTTTCCAATGCTGACATTCTCAACACCCAAGGTCCAGAAGGACAGCAAGCAGAGAAACCAAAGATCAATCTTCCCGACGACGATTCTGTTCCGGAAGATGTTCCGATGCCCACTTTCTATGGCGACATGGTCGAAGAACACCAAACCAAGATACTTTCCGCTTCTCCTTTCGTCAAATTCATGCAGCCGTACCTCTTGATGCGTGCCCGAGAGCAAGAACGTCGACTCGCGTATCTAAAGCGTTTGAGAGACCAAGACATCTTAGAAGAACAGAATGTCGATGAAAAGGCAAAACGCGAGAAATTCGATCTCATCAAGCCGGAGATGGTCCACGAAAGAATTCGCACAGCATCTAAGAAAGTACGCGAAGTACTACATGCTGTACATGATGCCGAGTATGACAAGGCTCTCCACAATTACCAGACTCAAAGCAAGCAGTGGGAAGCTTACATCGCAGGCAACATCAACTTATTCGATCCTTACGCACACCAGAATATTGCTGTTCTGTATAGCGTTGTCTGTACAGTCACAACTGTACCATGCTCTGGCCCTGATCTGCTGGCTTTAGGGTTTTACAACGAACATGAAACCGATGCCGATTTTGAAGCAGACTGTACTCTTGGTCAGTACGTGGAAGACTTGTGTCTTGGAGCCAATACTATCTGTACCGCAAATGGCTGCGAAAGGAAAATGTTCGAGCATCATCGACAATATGTCCACGGAGAAGCTCAGCTCAGTGTTTTTGTTGAACGATATCCCTGCAAGCTTCGAGGATTGCAAGATACTATCTTGATGTGGAGTCTTTGTCGGATATGTGGTAAAGAAACGCAAGTGATGCCAATGTCCGATAGCACTTGGAAGTATTCCTTTGGAAAATATCTGGAACTCTCATTTTGGAGCAGCGAGCTGCACGCTCGAGCTGATGTCTGTCCTCATGATCTTCATCGGGATCATCTTAGATACTTCGGCTTCCAAGATGTGGCGCTTCGAGTACACTACGACCCAATCACGCTACTTGAAATCATCGTACCACGAGCCAGGATAACGTGGAAGGTTGACAACGATCTTCGATTCAAGAATGAGCTTTTCACCAAGATTGAAGAACGCCTTGGCAAATTCATGCTATCAGTCAAAGCCCGGATCAAAAGCATCAACACCGAAAGCGTTGTGCCCGAAAAATCCGAAAGCTGCAACCAAGAAGTCGAAAAACTTGCAAAACGTGCATCCGATGAGCATCATGCCCTCGTTCAGAAGCTCAGAGAGAAGTATATGAATTCGAAGCATTACGAGATCATTCCCCTAAACCGAGCAATCCGAGCCACGCAAGAAAAAGTAGCTGAGTGGGACAATGCCTTTGCAGACTTTGATCGCAATTTCTTCCCTTCTGAGAAAGATATTCGACGATTGGCGACTCTCCAACTCAAAAAGATATTCTTAGACCGTGATGAATCGGTCACATCATTGGCTTCTACAGATGACAGCGCAACTATCTCTGTGTCGGAAGAGGCGATGAATGAGAAGACTTCCATGGATGACACTCCAGCATTGCCTCCACAAACCCGGAGAATGTCTCCAGAAAAGGCACACGATATGCTTGCTGCTGTTGTTGAGAAACATGTATTGATAAATAGCCAGCCTGACCAGCATCAAAGCGCCCCCAACACTGCTGTGCCCAAATTCGAAGCCGACTCGGCGCCTCGTTCTGTTCAACGGGGTTTGGAGAGAGATGATTTACGGCATCTGGACTTAGCAACGTCTACAGACCTCCCAGATAGGCTTGAGATTGGACAAAAATCGACTGTCGTCGACGCGAAGTTAACGGCACCACCTGAGACGGAAGACAAGGCCCCCCAACTATCGGTTGAGCCGCATCCTAGCGTAGACATCAATGAGCCCGGCCATGGGGACGGCCTCAAAGCAACCAATGTAGGAGTTTCTGAACAACCGAAGTTGTTAGACCATAGTCAGACATCTGGTATTCCGCGACCTATCGAGTCTACTCACGGCGCCATAAGATCAAACGTCTCTCCGACGCTTTCTCGCGCTCAGTCGCAGCCTGCCCATTTCCGCCATGAGCAGTCAAACAGCAGTCAGTCTTCATCGGCCATGCTTCCGTCTTTAAGCGCCGATAGTCAGTCTACCAAATCCAGCGACGTCTACGTACCACCAGCTGCAGGCGTCAGCAAACACGTCGATAAAAAGCTCTCAGATCGATTTGGCCTCAATGCTTTGAAGCCTAGTGGAGTGACTGCGCATTCCATGATTCCACGATCAATCGCCAATAGGAGGAAAGAATCAAAAGTTTCCAATCTCGCAAAACATTTTGAGCAGTTAAGCCGCGAATTTGAGAAAGAGCGTATCCGAGAGCGACGACAACGCGCCGCCAAAAGTCGACAAGCGAGAGCCTACCCTATGGCTGCTTCGAAGCCCATCGTCCAAATCTATCGTAATGTACATGAAGCTGTCGAAGAGCGAGAGCCATCAGACGAGGACCTTCCGTCTTCAGATCCATCTCATACTGAGCAGGAAGGGCCGTCGAACACTATAAATCACATGGCGGAAAGTACGGACTCGCAGACGCCGGGCGAGGGTTTCCATGCGGAAGAAACCACAGCAGAGAACACCGAACTTGAGGATAGCAACAACCTTGAAAGCCACGTCGGATCTGACGTTGAGGGCGAAGAGCCTCGAAGCGATGAAGAGCATTCCATTCTAGATGATATTCAAACTCCTGGAGCAGCTGATGAGCATCACGCATTGTCACCTGAAGAAGCTCAGCTCGACATCAAGCTCGATCTACCGAAGCATGAGAAAAGTTCGCTGATGAAGATGCTGACAAACTTCTGGGCTGAGAGATCCGCAAGTGGTTGGCAGCCCCTGGAGTACCCTCTGAACGCGACAGATCACATCTTCGCAGACTCTGACATCATTGTGCGGGAGGATGAGCCCAGCTCTTTGATCGCCTTTGCTCTAGGGTCGGAAGACTATCAAGCAAAGCTACGGAGCATAACAGAAATCACTGAGTCCCAGAACGACCAGCATGGCAAACGCCAGCCGCAAGATTCGGTCTCGAACATCGATGACCAAGTTGAAGTTGAGCGTTCCCTTTTGAGAGCTACAGGCACACATCTCAAATACCAATTTGCGGAAGGCTCAGCGAAGATGCTTTGCAAAGTGTTCTATGCGGAACAGTTTGATGCTCTCCGTAGAAAGTGTGGAGTCTCTGAGCGTATTGTGGAGTCGCTCTCACGCTGTATGAAATGGGATAGCAAAGGCGGTAAAACCAAATCTGTCTTCCTCAAGACCCTGGATGACCGCTTCGTTCTCAAGTCTCTCTCGCCGATCGAGACCCAAGCCTTCCTCCGCTTTGCACCTGCCTACTTCCGCATCATGTCTGAATCCCTTTTCCACGAGCTTCCCTCAGTCATTGCAAAGATGTTGGGATTCTACCAGATCATCATCAAAAACCCCATCACAGGCATCGAGTTCAATTGGTTCCTCCTCGTCATGGAGAACCTCTTCTACGACCGCTCACCCACACGCATCTTCGATCTCAAAGGCTCCATGCGCAACCGCCGCATCCAATCCACAGGCGAGCAAAACGAAGTCCTCCTGGACGAGAACATGGTCGAGTTCATCTACGAATCTCCCCTCTTCTCGCGCGAACACTCTAAAAAGCTCCTCCGAGCAAGCGTCTGGAACGACACCCTCTTCCTCTCACGTCAAAACGTTATGGACTACTCACTCATGATCGCTGTCGACGAGAACCGCAAAGAGCTCGTTGTCGGCATCATTGACTGTATCCGCACTTACACCTGGGATAAAAAGTTGGAAAGTTGGATCAAGGATCGTGGCAAAAATCGGCCGACCGTCACGAGTCCGAAGGAGTATAAGAGTAGATTCAGGGAGGCGATGGGAAGATATGTGTTGCAGGCGCCGAATTGCTGGCATCAATTCAAGGCGCAGCAGGTGGATACGAGGGCGCTGAGGGCGGATGATCCGGGGGATGATAGGGAGGTCCAGGTTGTGGGGCTCTGATGAATATTTCGTGTATGAGTAGCGTTTGGCGTTGCATTTGTGATGGTTGGATGGGAAAGTGCATGAAGGACAAAAGCATCCTCCTAGGCGGTCTCGTCTGATTGGGCCCTTGTTGTATTAGAAAGCGTAACGTGTAACGATCTCAAGAAGCTGTCTACTATGCTCCAATCTCATCGCTTCTGAATGTCGCGGACCTACCAAAAAAGACACATTTACTTCGTTTCCTAGACCCATCCATCGTGACCTCTTAGACCTCCAAATCCACCTCCTCAACCATTCCTGCCACCGCATCCCCTTCCCCTTCCTCGCCCTCCTCCTGCATGTCCCAGCCCCTCTTCACCGCCCCCGCGATCCCAGTCAACAGTTCCTCCAGCTCCTTCTTCTTCCTCTCCTTCATCACCTCCTCTTTCCTACTTCCAAGATCCTCCCTTTCCTTCTCCAACCGCTTCAACTCTTTCTTCAACCTCCTGTCCTCTTTCGCCGCCGCCCTCACACGGGATTGTAGAGACGTGTTGGTGTTCAGGGTAGTCGTCAACTGCAGGAGACGGGAAGCGAGTTCTTTGGCGTAGAGGTCTGTTGTTTGTTTCGTGCGTTTTAGTTCGGATTGGTTGGTGGATGGGTCGTCGGAGTGGGCTTGTTCGGCGAGGGCGGAGCTGGATTTGGAGAGGAGTTCGGAGCAGAGTTGGGAGAGGACGTCGACGGCGTTGATTGTGTTAACTGTGGTGTGGGGTTGAGAGGTAGACAATGGGTCGTCTTCGGCGTCGGAGGTGGGCGAGGGAGGAGCGTAGATGGTTATAGGAATGGAGTCTTTGGGAGGTGCGCGAGCTTTGGGCGCGGTGGCAGAGGCGGCCTTTGCTTTTGGTTTGCGAGATGCCGGGACTTTTGTTGTTCTGGTGTTCAGTGAGGGAGATTGAGCGGCGTCGGCTTTGCGTGGTCGCCCTCGTCGCTTCTTTTCGGGCATGATAGGGGCTGGGACTTCTTCCTCTTCTTCAGGTGTATCTCTTCGAGCTTCTTCGTCTGGTTCATCGATGGCATGTTCGGAGATTGGTTTGGCTTTAGGTCTCCCACGTCTAGCTTTGTGCTTGTCCTTGAGTGCAGGTTCTGAGAATTGGATTTCTGCCTCTTCTTCGGGTACATGCCCCAAATTCCCGGCGAGTGGCTTTTCAATGACCTCTTCCGGTCGTTCTTTAGCTCTAGGTCGTCCACGTCTAGCTGTGGGCTTGCTGTTTAGTTCGTTTCTTGTGGCCAATTGACCTCTTGCGGCTGCCTTGCTGGCTGTCCTATCTGGTGTAGCGAGGTCCATGGGCTTTTTCTTGGGTTTCTGCTGCCCAATCGATTTCCGCTTCTTCCTCTTCGGCTTCTGTGTCTGCGGTTCTGCTTCTTCTGCAGTAGCCTCCGGTTCCTCAGCCACATGGCCCACTGTGTCCGCTTCGACCTCAGCAGATTCTCCCATCCTCTGACTTGCCTCTGGTGCACCTTCTGCAGTGCTTGTCTCTTCTCGGGCCTTAAGCTTCCTGTTAGGTTTGGTTGTGCCTACTTTGGCGCGCTTCTTTGGCTGTTGACCAACGGTCACCCGCTTCCTCTTTTTGGGCTTCTCTTTTCGAAGCTCTGCAACTTCTGAACCATCATCTTGCTCCTCATTCACATTTTCCAAAAGGCTTGCTTGGGCTTCAGCAGGTGTCTCCATAATCTGAACTGCATTGAGTGCATCTTCTGCAGATATGATCTCTTCTTGGGGCTTCGGAGCCTTTGGCGCCCGCTTGCTCTGAGTGGAGCTTGCTTTGACACGTTTATTTGGCAGCTCTTCCACAGGAAACCGCTTTCTCTTCTTGGGCTTCTGTGCGATTTCCTGTTGGGGCTTCTCTGCGCTTGGCGTGAGATTGTCAATTCCAGAATCCAATGCTCCGGTGACTTCAGGCAAGTGCGCTGGCTCGCCTCCATCCAACGACACCGCATCAGTGGCGAGTCCCCTGCGTGCTTCTTTTGCCAAAGATCCATCGAGGTCTGTCACTTCTGCGAGGTCTGGCTTGGGTGTTTTCTTCCGAGATTGGCGAGCTGGCTTGAGCGGACTTCGTGCCTTGGCAGCTTTCGCTCGGCTCGTCGCTTGCTGTCCGATTGACTTCCTCTTCTTCCGCTTCTTGACCCCAGTACTAGGCGCAGCACTTGGGTCAGCATCTCTTGTCCCTAGTCCATCGCCTTGGACCTCTGGCGCATTCGAAAGTACAGCATCTCCCTGTTCCTTCTGGGCCTTGCTGGTTTTCCTCTTCTTCGTAGTAACACCCTCTTTATCGGCCTGCGTGACACGAGACGTAGATGAATCCTCAATGATATCGGAAACAGCCCTCTTCGCTGGCCTACCGCGCTTTTTCGTGAATCCAGTGGCCGGTGTCTTCCGTGATGATTGCTGGAGCTGTGTTGTTTCTGGTTTAGGTGTCCGTCTTGAGGATCGCTGCGGAGGGAGCTCTGGCTGTGGAGTCTTACGAGACCTGCCTGATTTGATAGGTTGGAGGGGCTCAGTTGTCGCGTTCTCTTGACCTGGCAGCACGAGGTCGAAGCCAATGTTCTTGACTTGGCGAGTGCTTGTAGCGAGTCAGTATAGAAGCATGCAAGGAAAGACTATGGAATTTACCCTGCACCTCGCTGGCGCATCAATTGACGCTCTCCTCGATCTTCTGTCGCAAGTTAGTAGAAGCTGCTGGTCTTGAGAGTGGATCCACTCACTTGGGCCCATCTCTACAGCGGCAAGGTGCATTTGAGTCGGTGGTGACGAACGGTGAAGGTAAGGTAGCTGCGAGGACGCGTTTGTGTTCTTCGGAGCTAGGTCTTGGCAAAGGCGGGTAGCTTTTATACCTCAGCCAATGCTAAGAAAAATACCATTAGCGTACTTACAAGGTGGCTAAGCCAAATTTGTATGGTAGCCACACCAAAATAAGGCGCGACGATGCTGACACCTTACTGTCGCTGCCGCTGTCGCCGGAGACCTCTCAGCTGTACCCGCTGACATTGCTATCGGTCAGGGCGGGATTTGTATGGGAGGTATAGCGGAGTTTACGTTACAATGAGAGACCTCGCTGCCGCCTCCCATGGGGCGGAGAACGATTTAGCAAGGCTGGGCGGGATTTGAGTGGGAAGACGTCGTCATCGTTACGGTATCTCGGGGCTATCAGAGTGGAATCTAATGAGAAGACCGTCGCTGTCGTCCTAATATTTCTAGCATCTCGAGACGAAATCTACCTCGCCGTCGCTTTATGGGGGTTTTATTGGGGGTTTAGCTAGCTATCTAGCCCTCATCCTCGCTATCTACTGAGACCTTTGCAGGGTTAGTAGGCGTCTGCAATTTGGACACGTTATAGCCGGCATTGATGAGATCCTTCAAGGCCAATTGAACTCTCTACTGACGAATTAGCCCGGTGGTCTTTCTGAGCATGGTAACCTATGAAGTTATCCACAAACGGCCACAGTTGGGCGAATTCCTCAGCCGTCCATCGGATCTCCTCTCTTACATCAAATAGGGTCTGACGAATTGCCTCAATATTCGGCGGCAAGGCCATAATTGTTGATCTCAAACGGGAGACGGCTACTTCATCAGCACGCGTCTTCCTTCGCTTGGTCCCCTTGCGAGACTCTTTCTAATCTATCGACGCGTCTAAGAAGATCTCGGCCTTACGTTTCAAGGAGGAAGAGGAGGGAAGGGTAATAAATTTCGGTAACGATGATCTAGACGCGTCAGAATACGTGGCCTTACTCCATTCGCCGGGGTAGAAAGTCGTCATCTGAAAACTCCGCCTTCGGGCTGCGGTCTCGATTAATATCCTTCGAGTTGCTATCGTACTAATTTAACACGTTCTGAGTATCCTCGAAGCCCTTATACTGAGAAGGCTGACGAATACGGAGGGGAGACGATATTGAGGCTATATAAGAGGGGGTTACGCGAAGATTTAATGAAGCGGAGTTTAGAAGGTATAGAAGGGCGATAGCGAGGTATAAGGAGGATGTAGTAGGAAGGCAGGATCCGCCCCCTACTTTCTATGGGAATCTCTTACTAATCAGGGGAATGTGGCTGTACCGGCCTAATGACTCTCCGGTATCGTACACTAGCGTTGGCTGAGGTTTAAAAGGAACCCAAAGGCGGAATGGAACCCGCTTCTGCTTCTATTCTTCCTAGTCAATAAAACGTTGAACGAACACATATGCCAGAGGGTTTTTGCGAGGTCTGGTGGCTCGATAGAGATTCAAGAAAGGGTCCGGCACCAAGTCAAAAGCGAAAGGAAGCTAAGAATAGCGGGAGTACCTAAGGTGACGGTCAGGACTCAGAACAGTAGCGGGAGTAAAGGTCAGAATACGGATGTCAGATGAATACCTCTACAGATATTGTATAATTATTTACAACAAAAGGTAAAAAAGGACAGCCGATCGCCCACAGCCCCAATCTACTTGCATAGTCCAACGCCGCAGACGCGAAGACACTAGTACCGTTCGCCATGCCCCTAATAGTGCCAATCCTACCTCTTAGTCTGATCTCGAGAGACCATCGACGCTCACTCTCGCGACGGACTTTCGAGTCCCAACCAGATCATCCCAGCGAAACAGGTGTCATACTGAGGTATGGCCGCCGAGCAGCTTCAGAATGTGTAAATATACGAAGCATTTCAAGAGCTCCGGGAAAACAAGTCATGCCATTCCGAAGCTCTGCCCTTGGAGATGATCAAAATTATACAGAAACAGAAGAAAACAACCGGGGGATCATGTCACCCTGATGGCTCAGGGACTGCGAAACGGGTTTCTGAGCTTTACGCAACTTGGCGAGATAAAGGACCAGATGAGGCAATGCTGTCTTTGGAGGAGTCTGCAAGCATCATTGGTGACCTTATCAATCCTTGGTCACAAACAGCAACCATCCTTGATGCGTTGGACGAATGCTCGCAACCTTATCCACCTTTACGATCCCTTCAACAAATCATTCAACTTCTGCGGGACGAATAAGACTGTTCGTCTCTAGCCAAACCAATGTGGATGTTTCAAACGTACTGACTGATGTTTCACGGGTCAAACATACAAGTCCAAGACACTTCTTCAGACCCGTATGGATGTGTTTGGAAAGAGCTGAAGGAGAGTTAAAGACGAGCTTCGAAAGGCAGAGAGCCGAAGCCCGAAGATAGGATCATCGAAACAATAAGTACTCGTGCACAGGGCATGTGAGCAATTTCCCCACTAGATCTACAGCTGAGATGTCGACGAGTTCTTGCCGCCAGCTTTAAATGGGCCGAGCTTCAACTGGCCATCTTCCTAGATGGGAATTCTCCATTTCGCCTTCCTGAAGACGTCGAGACGCGACTCGATCAGCTGGATGCCGAAACTGGCTTACCTGATCTGGTGTCCGTCTACAAGGAGATATACGAAAAAGAACACTCGTGTGGCCTTCGAAGACTGCGAATACGCAAGAGATGCTTACAAGTTTGTGCCCTGCTCTCGAAGACCCCTCTATGCCCATGAACTTGCGGAAGCGGTCTCTCTCAAACCCGACGGTAGCTCGAACAGGCTTGCGTGCTGCGAATATGTAGCAATTTCCTTGTCATGGACCGCTGGACTCAAGTTCGTATCGCGCACCTGTCTCTTGTAGGATTCCTGAACATGTTCTCGGATAGCCTTACACAGGCACAGGCAGTAGAGACCTGTCTTTCCTGCTTCCAGCCGGACGCAAGGTTGGTGGCAAGCAAAATTTACGACGGAAAGTGGGATGCGTACTTCTTCTCTGACTACGCCGGTAAATATTGGCTAGCTCACTGTCGGTCAATATTTGAAGTTGAGAGACAACACGGCCTTCAAGGGGAGCTTTTTGCCCAATTTTTCTCTGACGCGCAGTCGAAGCCTATCTTCATTGCATAGATGGGATTTTATCGTGGCGAGGATAAAGTCTACCAGAGACGTACCGATAGTGAAACTGTAGCTTCCGCACCGCTCGGTCCGTCCTTCTCCAGGCTCGCGAAGCTCTTAAGAATCGCGTACCAGTCTTGGCTGGAACTAAATTTACGGCGCTGCATCACGCGGTGGAGTGGAACAGTATTCTCATGGTTTCACTACTTGTTGAGAGCGGTGCCGATGTAATGCGGTCAGTCAGGACGTAGGAACGCATTTTTCATCGGGCAGTGCGTCTCGGGTAAGACGAATTTGCAAGTGTTGTTGCCGAGCATGGTAGCGATATTCACAAAAGGGATATCGCTGGACGGACAGCAAGCTATTCGGGTTGGGAAGCCTTGGCTTCTTCAATGCGATCAGCCGGAATGCAGAATCTAGGTGATCGCGTTCGTTTGGTGGCTAATGTTTGGCAATTGCTCAAGAGCCTCACGTCGGTCCGTTTCCCTTTCTAGTATCATTTGATATCTTCTCGCAGCTCAAGGTTGTATAGCTCTATATTCCTAATATAAGCGATGTACGAAAGTCTTTTGTTCTTATGGAGCAGACAAATGAAGGTGGCTATTTTCTGCCAAGGCGCAAGCTTTTGTCATCGCATCATTTCGCATCTCACGTGATTGGGTTAGGTTTAGGATTATGGTGAACTGTAACCCACAACTGGACTTTTCCGTCGTCATCATCGAGATCGTTCCACCTTTTCCGTCAGAGAACATCCCATACAACTTTCACTCCATACGCCATTTCCCCGCGTCATCAAGGTATCCCATAAATCAGCAACAAATCCAACACCATGGCCTCATTCCTCACAACATTGCTCGCCTGCCCGCTAGCATTGCTATCCATCTACGCCGGCCAGAAATCGTATCACGCAATCATGAATCTGCACAGTGACCAAGATCGCGCCGAAAAGGCCGCAGAGCACTCCAACAAAGCGGCGCGCGAGCTGTGGCGCATAAGGCTCACCCAGGCAGGCGGGGCTGCTACGGTACGTTCGTACGATCAATCCGAGGTCAATTGTTTTGCAAGTGGTACATTCATCGGTCTCCCCCAACATTCTCGCCTGAGGAAGTCTCCCATTGTAATTTTCGACTTGGGTGAATTGTTCTCGTGGTATGCTCCTTGTTCGACGTTATCGCCCTATTGCGTTACTATGCGCAAATATGTACTTTCATGCGGGAGATCTGATCTCTTGTGCAGGTACTCTTGTCGCTCGTTAGCACCCTCGCACTTGTCTTTCTGAGTGCCGCCCCAGAATTGTTGGCGTCGGTCAATGTAGCAGCTGAGATTTCTGCGTCCTTGTATATTTCTGGGTACTGGAGGGCTAAAGCTCAAGTGCCCTTTATGACCGAGTACAACGAGGCTATCAGGAGGAGTAATGACTTGAGGAGGTTGTTGATCGCTTTGAGTGCTGGGTGGGCTTTTACTGGAGCCGTGGGATATCTGGCAACTTGAATTGCTCCTATTGCGAGGAGAGTCCTGGAAATGAATCAAAGATTTGAGGGTTGGTCATTATTTTGAGAGACATGACAATAAGGTCCGATTAAAAGGCTGTGCTCTTTTCACTGTAAACAATGTGCTAGAAGGTATATATAGTCATCTGAAAGGCAGATGGTCAATCCCGAAACACGTCATGTGAATGAGAAGGCGGATGACCTCCCTCTAGGTCGACAAGTGGCAACTGTCTCTGCCAATGCTGAAATCTTAACGCAACAGTCTACGTCGATCTCGGCAACTGTCCATGATATAGCCGACTATACGAGGGGAACCGCCAGGTTGGTTGATAGCTTAGCTTCGATTATGAGCAGCATGGCTTTCAGGTCATCTCGATCCAACACAAAAGCAAGATGAGACATGTAGAGAGGGACACCCAGATACCGGTCAGTGGTTCCTTCAAAGCCGAAAGTTCCGAGTATGGCTTGAAGGGCCAGCTCAGCAGACACCACGTCTTGAACATCATTGGCATGTCGGGTGCTGGGAAGACTCCCCTCATATCCAGCGCAATTAGAGCTGCCCAGTCGATGGGAAGAGACCACCCTCAAATCGCCGCCACTTACTTTTCTTGTTCTTTTAACGAAGCCGCTTCCCAGGATCCCGCCCATATGGTTGGCTCGTTCATATCCCAGGTCCCAACTGTATGTCCGAACATGCTGGAAGGGTTGGAGGTGGGGTTTGGGAGAAGAGAGCGACCTACCCTTCAAGATCTGGAACAACGACTCACGTCCCAAACTGCGCGCTCCCCATTGAAGATACTTCTCCTTATAGACGCTGTCAACGAGTGCAAGAAAATCGAGCCAATGATCGATACCTTGCTCAGACTTGCCGAGTCTGCGTCTGACATCCGTGTGCTTTTCACAAGAACTGAGGAAGATCCTCTTATAACGACATTGATTGACCTTGAGCCCCCGAAAGCAACGGCCCTTGAGATGTCAGCATTGAGTGCAGATATCGATCTCTTCATCGAAGCCAACATTAAAGAGAAAAGGATCTGCAACGATTGCCTCCAGAAATGAGAGAAGAGATCGACGTTACGTTAAACATGAAAGCCGATGGCATGTAAGTAAATACAAATACTCCTACACACTGTGTATTACGTGACAGTGGATCGGTCGGACCGTCTTTCGGATAACCACGATCTTTTCAGATGGTGTCAAGGCTTGATCACCTACCATCCCAGGACGTCAGATATCACCCCTTCTCATTCGTCGGTTCGTACCTACCTGCTGTCAGATCAGATCAAACATGGCCCATCTTCCTTCTTCAGCATTGAAGAAAATAAGACAAGAAAGCTACTCTTACGAAAATGCTTGACATGCATGATGTTCACGGACTTCGGCAAAGGAAACGCCCCAATTCTCGTGAATGGAAAGCGTTCAGCCGTCAGTGGCCTCTTCTGAGTTACGCTTCTAATCATTGGATTCGTGCCCATGCTCTTAACGCTTCACTGGAACCGTATGACCAAGCTTTGATTTCGAAACTCTACAGCACGTCGAATTATGAGCGAGGTGGTAACTTCGGCTTCTGGGTCCAGTGCCTCTTTTCTCTTGATCCTCAGGCAGGTATCCGGGTCGCACGAGATACACAACCGCTCTACTATGCCGGTCTCAGAGCGATGGTCGGGTCGCTAATCTCCGCGAATCGGGACACGGATCTAGACACGTTAGGAGGCCGCAATGCCTCCACTGCATTGCAAGTCGCTTGTTATAGAGGCCATTACGAAGTAGCGAAGGATCTACTTGACGCCGGCGCAAACCCCTATCACAGAGACCGCTATGGACGCTCTAGCCTATTCTATGCGTTATGCCACGGTAACAAAGACATCGCGGAGCTTCTAAGGCAATATCTGCGTTCGAGGACCGATCCGAAGGGCGAGGCTGCGTCCATCCACGTTGAGGAAGCTTTCGCTGCTGCCCGCATGTTCATGGCAGGAGCAGCGCATTAGGCAGGAGCGGGGTTTGTGTAAGTCTTCAAATCAGACTTCCTCCCTACGCTATATCCCCGCGCCGATTTCAACTGACGCTTCTACCAAATTCTTCGGCCATTTTTTATACATACCCAACGACCTTTGGACCGCGCTCACTACTCTACATTCCTGTCAGAGACTCAACAATATTGTCGCAATGATGGATTATATGAAGTGTACTACCTTCAAGTCCCATGGTGCTGCGAAAACGGGTTGCCAAGGCACGCTGGATAGGTGTTGAATTTGAACCATGACAATTCTATACCTCTTATTTGATTGTTAGTATCTCTTGGATGTCTTCGCACCGCAAAACCACCGCCTGAGCGGTTCAGAAGTGCATGCGACTCTTGACCTTCATCTACTTCCCAAGCCTACCTCTAGTTTCACGCCTCAAATATGTGGCTGTAGGATTCTTGAGCTTCGTATCATGGAGGTAGAAATTACTGCAAGAGGGAACGCACCAGCTCCTCGGTTTTGTGCCCCACAGCGACACACCTTGTGCAATACTTGCCCATTCAGCAGTCGTAGTGCGCAACTCAGCAGTCGGTCTGGAAGGCTTGAGATGTTTGTGGCATGCTGTGTATAGCTCCGTGTGCTGGTGCTGAGACGGCCGATTCAGGTATTTCGGAGATCTGCGTGTGACCCCAGCATTCTCATGATTTGGGTATGAGTACCGAGGCATGGCTCTCTTTGCAACTATGATAGAAAGATGGAAAAACAACCTTGCATAATGCTGCGATGTTCAAGTCATGGAGCTCAGTACATTCCCTTTGCAGGTCTTGTGCGTAATTTTGGTCTCAAAAACATCAGATTGGGCGATCTACTTAGGCCGAAGTCGGGGTCGCGGGATGTACTAGTACTCGGCACTATCTAAGCTGCACCATGACTCGCGCGGGCATCTTGCATAGCGCAGGATTCGCAGGGCGTCTCATTGGCCGTTCAAAAGCCGCTACTGCATCTTCGAAGGATGAACTAAACACAGTGACAACGATAAAGAGAATGCGGGGCACCTACTTTCTTTGCAGTCTCCGAAGTATCTCGCTATCTAGTCACTGTCATTGAGCTTAGTGGTCATCAGATCCAATCCAACAAGATGGCTGGGTTTGACGAGCCTTCTGCGTCGTATGGAGAGACGAAAGATCGCGCAAAAGTGGAGTTGCATGACCTCAGCGAGGGAAGTCCGATTGAGGGCAAGTATATGGGAACTGATTCGGACCGCCACGACATGTTAGTGCTGGGAAGGAAGCAGGTCTTACGAGTATGTAAGGCCACGGCTAGAAGCGTAGCCTTGAAGATTGAAATAGCATCGGGCGGCATTGTTGATCTTGAGCTGATGATTCCGTCCTCAGCGCAACTTCCAATTCCTATCTACCGTGGGCTTCGCAGCCGTCCTGATCTCTACCTGGGAGATTCTCTTCGCGTACGTGGTTTATCATACGGTCGCAGCCAAGTGACATTTTACTGATATGGGCGGAATGGGTAGCAACGTCCTTTTCAGCTTGACAGATGGTGGTACTGCAGGCATATTTTGGGGTTATACGGTAACAGTCATTGCGAGTATCTTCATTTACCTCAGTGTAGGAGAGATGGCCTCGATGTATGACTGTGCTCCTCGTCAGACGGAGACATCACGTTGACGTCCTTGGTTTCTAGGTCCCCTACCGCGGGAGGCCAGTATCACTGGGTCTCAGAATTCTCCCCCCCTTGGTGCCAGAAGTATCTCAGCTACATCACAGGTACAATACCCTCTACTTGGCACGCGTAAAAGTCCCTCTATTTGCTGCTAAACAGCGCTGCAGGCTGGATTCTTGCAACAGGGTGGCAAGGATCTGTGGTGGGGCTTTCTTTCCTGGCGGGGACTATCGTGCGTGAATCCTCTCTCTCTCTGTACTGGATGAGATTCAGCAGAGCAGGTGCTTTTTGCCGAAACCCTACCACTCAGCTCTGTACCCTGTGGGAGAGATACTGACTCCGAACTCCCTTTTAGATCCAAGGCCTCATTACTCTGAACAACAGCAGCTATAACCCTCAGCCATGGCATGGCACACTACTCGTCATTGCAGTGGTACTGTTTGCTATTGTTTTCAATACATCTATGGCCAAGCAGTTGCCAATGGTGGAAATTGTCATACTGTTCATTCACATTCTTGGCCTCTTTGCCATTGTCATCCCCCTTCTGGTCATGGCACCTTCGCGTAACAGTGGCAGGACAGCCCTGCTGGACTTCTACAACGGTGGAAACTGGTCAACTGTCGGTCTTGCAACGATGATTGGCTTACTCACCCCTCTGGGCTCTATGCTTGGCTTTGACTGCGCTGTACATATGTGTAGGATCCTACATCCTGGGCTGCGTGGGAGAGTAAGACAGCTAATCAACAACAGCCGAAGAAATCAGAGACGCTTCCGACACCCTCCCAAGATCTATTTTTTGGGGTGTAGTCCTCAATGTCATCCTTGGGTACCTCGCTGTCTTCACGCTCTGCTTCACAATTACCGATCCCTCGGCCATACTTAATACTGCCACCAAGTATCCTTTTATCCAGCTGTTCTACAACATTACCAACAGCTACGTCGGCACCAACATCATGGTCGCCATTATAATCATCGCATTAGTATGTGCTGTGATTGCAGAAATTGCCACAGCATCTCGGCAGATCTGGTCCTTTGCCCGCGATGGAGGTTTGCCATTTTCGCCCTTCCTATCAAAGGTGAACCACTTTTCCTTCTTTATTCAATCTCTTCTTATTGTCACCATCACCACCATCTCGACACCCTCAAGTTAGCCCCACAATACCTTGTCGATAGCACCAATATCTAACCCTCCTCGCCAAACCCCCACAGGTCTCCCCGAGCTTTCCCATCCCCCTAAACGCAGTCATAGTTTCCTTCCTCTGCGGCATCGTCATCAGCCTAATCAACCTCGGCTCCGCCGTCGCTCTCAACGCCATCATCTCCCTCACCATCTCCGCCCTCTTAGCCTCCTACATCCTATCCATCGGCTGCATCCTCTCCAAGCGTCTGCGCCGCGAACCGCTGCCATCGGCGCGCTGGTCGCTAGGCCGCGCGGGAATGGCAGTCAATATCATCGCGCTGGTGTTCTTGGTGGCTTTCTTTGTGTTTTGCTTCTTCCCGACGGCTACGCCGGTGCAGCCGGATACGATGAATTGGAATATTGTCATGTTTGGGGGAATCTTTGTGTGGGCTACGGTCTTTTATGTGGTGAAGGGGAGGAAGGTATATATTCCGCCCGTAAGGATTGTGAAGCGGGATGTCTAGGAGGGTTGAGAGGGAGCTGTGAGTCACGAAGAAGACGACAGTAGTATACACTAAAAGGATATTAGTATCAGAGAATTTATTGGGTGATGATCTTTATCCTTCTTTATCGCCGTCAGTGTCAAAGGCCAAGCTCCTTCCTTAAATCTAACCGCTTGAGAGAATCTGTGAGGTCCCCCCGTTCAGAACGATGGCACTGAAGGATTGAGGCACTAATCGTTCTGGCCAGCCGTCTTTGCAATACATATTCACGGAGAGGGAAAGTTCCAAGTCCAGGCCGCGCGCGAGGCAAGATATACCAAGTTCCGGGTCCGAATACCCTTATAGCGGCTCTAGGATACGCCGCAAACAGCCTGTTATAGATGATTCCGGCCAAAGTCAGCTCACGCACTCCGGGCAGGCGCATCTGGTCTTCCTCGCGAATACCTTCAAGAACGCGTATTAACCGGCGGCGTACGTGTTCGAGGTGATAACGACCTTGGGAGTCCACGCCCAGAACCTGTATTCTCGCAGCCCGTTCGAAGACCCTCCCGACCGCCAACTTCGAGAAAGGGTAGCTACCGAGACCGGAGTTGGGCGCCTTCGCTACGGCGAAGGCTTTCGGAAACGTGGCACCAACTCGAGTCAAGTGAGGATGATGAGTAGAGGTATTCAGGTATAAAGAGGGTCGACAGTAAAAAAAAGGCTCAGAGTCCAAGATTAGTGACGCTGAAGTCATTGCACAGACCTTGAAAAAGATTGCAACAGTCCAAGACAGTGATGTGCCTGCAACAGGCACAGCCACTCCTTCAATTCCAAAGAAACGAGCCTCGGAGGCTGAAGTTGGACCAAGCGCCCTAAGAAATACGTCACACGCGTCGTTGGGGCCGGAACGCCAAAAGTCTTTACCAATACCAGGACGTAAAGCCCATCTTGAACAGGATCATCAACTCGCTCAACAAGATCAGGATGGACAGAGCAGAACGACGGAACGAGGATCAAAATCAATGGATGAGAGGCCGTTGCTGGACAAAATTTCAGAAGAGCCTGACGTGATGTTTGATGACAACGATATCTCTCATCACCAGCGTGTCGTCTGTTCTCCCGAAAGTCCCGTTCTTCCACGTCCGCACCAAAGACATGCTCTCCCATTGCCGCCTGATCCTGTCAATCACTTCCGTGAAGCTTCGCCTCGACCTCAGTCCCGCAATTCAACCCTCAAGGGTCCTCGGAGTAGACTGATAAACGGATCGATGTTTATGGGAGCATGGTGATTATATCTCAGCATCTCAAGGCGAGATATCCGACCATGCTGCGTAAGACGAAGGGTATGATGAGGTCGAAGATACTCGCCAGATTAGCCGGAATCCTACTGTTCAAGAGGAGGTGAGTTGATCGATGAGGATTCGGGGTAGGGTAACCAAGATCCCAGCGTCGGCCACTTTGGAGCTCAAGCACCCTCACGGAGAATCGAGGCTTGGATTTAAAATTGTATATTATCGATAATACTACCTAGAAAGTCATTGTCGACCGCTTGCCTGCCTCAAGTCCATGAACATGAATGCTAAATAAGCAACACTTTCCATCTTGGCTGAGTACCGGACAAATACCACTGCTGCATGGACAACCTCGGATGCATCCTTGTAGTGCAATTGCTAGACGATGATGGTAGGCCCGAAGGTAGGGTTCCCACCCGCAGCATTAACGATGTAGGCGCTTTTCAGTGGGATTGAGCTCTGCCGTCCCAAATGTCTACGTCCACAACGGAGCTGAGGATTCATGCGGAACAGCCTCTACACACACACTTTGCGTCTCCACCCCAGGAACATAGGTACGGATTTGCTGCGGCGGAGTGCGCAAACGGCCGTGGAAATCGCCGGTGTTTGCCTTGAAAGCACGAGGCATCGAGCATCGCATGCAGGGCTGATTCCGTTGCAGCGCACATATGCAAGCCATTCCCTTACTGGGCGTACCTTTGGATATGCGAGATGATAGGGAGTCTGTGAGTCAATTGGTATGGAAGACGCATTATTGCAACCTTTGTAAGCAGGGGCTACTCCATCCACCAGCTGTCTGAGATTCCGTGAACACTATTCAATCTCTGCGGTGTTCGACTCTGCGGTGCTTGATCTTCATCTTTAGAAAAGCTGCGATCTAGTTGACAGTCAAACAATCTGCACGACTCGATCTCTTATTCGTACAGATCTCCCGCGATATCCACAGTGTTAAGGCTGAACCCTTTACAACAGTAAGGTATTCCATGCCCTAACGGTCTCGCGGGAAGACCATGGACCCGGTCACCCTTGACCAAGCTTCAGCGAGATTCACGCTTGGGCCTGCGACTTCTTTCACATTGAAATATCATTACCTGCATGTGCTCAAAACAGGTCAGGAACGTCCGATTCGATGCCTGGTGATTTTTATCCTCGTCGCCTCGTTAGAGGGTAGTGCCCACCAAAAAGCACCTCAATTAGCCGGGGGCTGACGCTATCCCCCACCATAAACATCCCACCCACCTTCATGGAATGGGGCTGAGTGCGTATTACTTTTCTATTTCTTGAATCAACTTCAAGTATTCCAGGTCGGTGCCGCAGACTCAAGCGAGAAATGCACCCTTCCCCTATTTTTGCAATGGAAATTCTAACCGCGATTGAGCCTTGTGGATGGGTTCGACACAAGGCCGTAGGCATTCTATTCCCCCGGGTCCTTACTCAAAATTCCTAATCTCCGAAAGACCATACAGACACTCTCACTGTAATAAGTCTGTTCGTCCCTCGACGGCAGTGCCCGCAAGGCGACCATAGAGCTACTTCCCACTCGCTGAAGGATTATCGAGTGGCTCTGGAAGCCGAAGGCTTCTTTTGGCCCTCATCAAATGTAGGAAAGTGGATGCTCGAGCAGTCACGGCTGGGCGGAGCATCTGCAACTAGCCCTGCAGCGCTCTAAGTATGCCTCTGTATTGAACGCAAGGCTATCAATCTGCGCACATTCTCTTTTCCATATGTCTTCCTCAAAAAAAAACCCTCCCTGTCGTCTCATGCCTGTTCATTCAGATAGAGCTTTGATTGCAGAATTCTTCCCTTTCGCTGAGGTTGGTGCTGAAGAGAAACCATTCGAGATGATGTACAAATCGCTTGTGTCGTGTTTGTTGCTTGATGGTATGTTCTTCCCTTCATCTAGCCCTCATAGAATTCGAGTGGTGTTTCTCCATGCTGCGACCGAAGGAAGACTGCGTATCACTGTTGCTAAATTTGAGCAGCAAGCGGCCTTGCCACAGCTTTCGAATTCTCCACGATAAGCACTGCAAATATATCTTCGTTCTCCCATGCGTCCGCTACGGCGCCGCCAATGAGACTTGGCTCGGCCTCTCATTCCTACACGACCTTGACGTCTTCGAACATACCGCAAGGGCAGTCGCCTCCGAATTCCAACAGCCGTGGCGATTATGTCACAACCCGTTACACGACCCAACATCCAACATACACACTACCCTTAGGCTTTACCAATACGGAAGACTTTGGTCCTAGCGGTGTCGTTCTGGTCGGGCCGACCACGTGGGCGACCCAAGATGTGCTGCCAGTAGTAGAAGTTGCCAATGACCTGACCACGACATCCTCAACTCCACAACCGTGGGATGCCAATGGCTTTCTTGACAAAAACGAAACTGTCGTGGCATCGTTTATCAGCTACGGAAGACAACCGGCCTGTACCTCGGATTTCTTCTCTTACGCGGCCGAATCCGTCGACTACTGTGACTCCCAGATGGGCTACGTTTTTTACCTTGACCAATGGCCAGACTACAGTGGCTGTGTCTTACTCAACCGTACTCTGGCCTATGACCTCAGAGCCGCATTGTTGCGGAAGATGTTCGATATACTTCAATAACCTCCAGATGCTATACTGGCCTGCTCTTCATCCCAACACAGCCTGTTTAGGCAAAACTTCGGCTGGTTTCGATAGTACGAGTACCAATGCGGGGACTGCTGCTCGTAACCAGTCCGTTTATGCAACCGACTCAGACGGATACATATAGTAAGTAGCTCTCATGGTGACGCTGCTACACCGCTTGGGACTTACTAATGAATCGTTCAGCACATCGCCTTCGATATACGTCAAGTTCCCTACAGTGTCCGCGTCCGATGCCTGTGGACTGATCGGATCAGCAGCTACTTCCATAACCCTTGCCTTCTCGGCACGGGAGCTATCTACATTCGTATTGAATGATGGGACAGGAACCAATTACCAAACCTTTACATCGGCACTTGACACTGCCGAACTACCATGTGGCCCGTGGAATGGGACCGATCACTTTCTACCCGAAGCATGGTCCAACTATTCCTCCTACCAGCCTCTGATAGTATTGCCTTCTAAACTGATTGCTATGGTGCCGGCATGGAAATCCTGCACAGCTGACATGTTCGAAGGCCAGGACCCTCCCCGTACCCTAAGCCCTGCAGCAGCTATGGCACCAGCGCCAACAAATGTAGGTACGCAGGCCCAGAATAATGCTGCTTCACCAAGTCCCTCAATTCCTGCTTTACCACACAAAACGGGAGCAGGAGTCTCTCAACAGAAAGATCCAGATCCAGATCCATCTCCGAACTCGCCTTCTAAACCTGTTGATCCGTCCACAGGAACTTCGGGAGATCCCAGTAATTCTAATCCGTCTCCCAAGCCTAGTGGTCCATCGACGGGAGATTCTGGAGATTCTAGCAGTGACAACCTGCATCCTAAGCCTAATGATCCATGGTCAGGAGATTCCGGAGTTCCTAACGACTCACAGGATCCCGCAGGCAATGCAGCATCTGCGGCCACAGCGCCCGCTCTCGACCCTACACAAGCCCCTGCAGGCGACCCACCATCAAACGGCCCTTCCAATCCATCCGCAGCCGACCTTAGCGACACGAAGAACACTCCGCTCACTCTTCCACCCGCTATCCTCTTACATGGTCATACCATCACACAAGGTGCTGCTCCAGTGACCATGAATGAAATGCCGGTGGTGTATCAATCAGGATCAATCAGCGCGGAGGGCGAGGTAAAGGCGATTCCGGCCGGCTGGGGTGTCTTTGACCCCATAGAAATAGAGTGATATAGCCGACGTGCGCACAGGTCATAGCGGAGAGTGGCTGGGAACATGGCTGGGAACTCCACATTTCGACATAAGGCCTGCCATAGTGGTGTTCGGCCGTCTTTGTCCGGAGAGTCTGCTACCATATCACTTCGACTCAATAGTAGCTGCACCACTGCCTCGTGCCCATTGTCTTTGGCCAACGATAGTGGTGTTCGGCCGTCTTTATCCGGAGAGTCTGCTACCACATCACTTCGACTCAATAGTAGTTGTACCACTGCCTCATTCCCATTGCTTGCGGCCAACGATAGTGGTGTTCGGCCGTCTTTGTCCGGAGAGTCTGCTACCACATCACTTCGACTCAATAGTAGCTGCACCACTGCCTCGTGCCTAATCATTATGGCGCACCACAGTGGTGTTCGGCCGTCTCTGTCCGGAGAGTCTGCTATCACATCACTTCGACTCAATAGTAGCTGCACCACTGCATCGTGCCCCTTTCTTGCGGCCCAGCAGAGGGGTGTTCGACCTTGTTTATCCGGAGAGTCTGCTATTATATCACTTCGACTCAATAGTAGTTGTATCACTGCCTTATTCCCATTGCTTGCGGCCAACGATAGTGGTGTTCGGCCGTCTTTGTCCGGAGAGTCTGCTACCACATCACTTCGACTCAATAGTAGTTGTACCACTGCCTCATTCCCATTGCTTGCGGCCAACGATAGTGGTGTTCGGCCGTAATTATCCTGAGAGTTTACTACCACATCATTTCGACTCAATAGTAGCTCTATCACTGCCTCGTGTCCCCGGAATACGGCCCACCATAGTGGTGTTCGGCCGTCTTTGTCCGGAGAGTCTACTACCACATCACTTCGACTCAATAGTAGCTTCACCACTGCCTCGTGCCTCTTTCTTGCGGCCCAGCAGAGGGGTGTTCGACCATGTTTATCCCGAGAGTCTGCTACCACATCACTTCGATTCAATAATAGCTCCACCACTGCCTCGTACTCATTACTTGCGGCCGACGACAGTGGTGTTTTGCCGTAAATATCCTGAGAGTCTGCTATCACATCACTTCGACTCAATAGTAGCTTCACCACTGCCTTGTGCCCATTGCTTACGGCCAACGATAGTGGTGTTCGGCCGGTTTTGTCCGGAGAGTCTGCTACCACATCACTTCGACTCAATAATAGCTTCATCACTGCCACGTGCCCGCTCTCTGCGGCCCATGACAGTGGTGTTCGGCCGGTTTTATCCGGAGAGTCTGCTATCACATCACTTCGACTCAATAGTAGCTCCACCACTGCCTCGTGCCCATTCATTGCGGCCAACGACAGTGGTGTTTGGCCGTAACTATCCTGAGAGTCTGCTTTCACATCACTTCGACTCAATAATAGCTTCACCACTGCCTCACGCCCCTCCTCAGCCGCCCACGACAGCGGTGTCCGACCATCATTAGCCTGAGAGTCTGCTTTCACATCGTTTCGACTCAATAGTAGTTGCATCACTACCTCGTGTCCCTCCATTGCGGCCCACGACAGTGATGTTTGGCCGTCTTTATCACGAGAGTCTGCTTTCACATCACTTTGACTCAATAGTAGTTGCATCACTGCCTCGTGTCCCTCCATTGCGGCCCACGACAGTGATGTTCGGCCTCTTTTATCCGGAGAGTCTGCTACCACATCACTTCGACTCAGTAGTAGCTTCACTACCGCCTCACGCCCCTCCTCAGCCGCCCACGACAGTGATGTTCGGCCGTCTTCATCACGAGAGTCTGCTATCACATCATTTCGACTCAATAGTAGCTTCACTACTACTTCTTGTCCTTTTGCAGCTGCCTGGAGTAACCAATAATCACGCAATGTCGGCAATTTATCTAGCTTCTCTTCCCAGAATTTGTAGTCAGTGGCCAAAGCTGGACCAGCTGCTACTGCATGATTCTGCCACTCACGACTCGCATATCGGAAAAAGCAGTAGTCGTCTAATAAGTTTCGCCGTTGCGAATCTCCAAAGAGTAATCTGTGCTCCAGCGTTGGGTGCATTGACATCGTATGTTGTTTGAATTCTTCCAGGCAGAAATATGTCCAACAGGTTCTGAATATTAGGAGATTTGTCGTGTCAAGGGCAACATGATACTGGGACAGGTCACCGTTTCCTTGGAGATGTGCACCCAAGAGGTAGTCCTTGGCGGACTGATGAACGAGGTTGATGGTATCTCTGTCAGTATCAACGTAGACAAGCGGCTCGCAGCTTTTGAATTCATCCTGAAAAACATGCAAGAGGTCTTCCGATGGTACCGCTTTTCCTTCCCATTCTCCAGTGCCTAGAACGCGTGCCATTGCAAGTTCTCTCACAGTCAGAGGCCTTCGCGCAACAGCCACCCAATGGAGTACCCAAATTGCGATTTCCACATAGTCGACTGCGATCCGACTGAGAATCTTGTCGTACAAATTGTTGAGGTCTGAAGGTAATTCCTGCAGCTTCTGTCGGACTAACGACTGCACCCTCGTTTTGTTGAGATCATCCAAGACGAGTGAGACATACAGGAACGTTCCCTCAGCCTTACTTGTCAAAGCATGCTTGACCTCTTCCTTCAGTTTCTCATTATATTTTTTCCTTGCCGACAACTCGTTGACTTTAACAACGATAAACTTGGACAAGTCGTCATTGACTTTCCCTGAGTCAACCTGGAGATGCCGGATGGCTGGACCGACTGCGGACAGTGACTCCTCTATGTCATTTTCCCGTCTACTGGTGACAATAAACTTGACATATGTCTTTTCGCTCTGCTGAGAAACGAAGAGTTCCTTGAAATCGGTGAGAAACAGCTGACGTGATTCTTTCTCACATTCATCCAAAGCATCTATCAAGCAACAGACCTCACCCACTTCGGGATCCTGTATGATGCTAACGAAAATTGTCCACAGCGCATGGAAATTAGTGAAGAGCCTGTCGCGCAACGTATCAAAGCGCGTCTGAATGTGCTTGAAGAGAATTGGTCGCTGCCGTAATAGTTGCAGCAGTAGTCCCCGGAGAATGGATGTGGCGGTCCTACGTTCCTGGAATTTGTCATCGCAGAAGTAGTATGCCAACGTCATCTGCGATGATTGCTTTGCTAACTGCGCGAGTTCTTCCACCAAGAAACTGGATATCATCGTCTTTCCGATTCCGGGCGCGCCAGAGAGCCAGAGCAGCTGTGGACTGTCTTCAACTAACCATGACGTGTACCGGTCTTGAGTGAGAATCCATGCGCAAGTGCCATGGACCCTGCGTCCCTTCGCATTGCGAATCTCTGCGAGGTCATTTCGAGGATCAGAAAGGAATAGAGATTGCAGACATCCCAGGTTTTCACGGGGTATTACTGTATGACTGAAGTCAGTTGATATGGCCGACCAATTTACTGGTGTTCATCGTACTTGAATTGTCTTCAACAATTGCCTGAGCTGTTCACAGATATGTCAGCTTGGGTACATAAGTGTATTGAGATTTGCTTACGGTTCAGTCTGCCTTGGACTACTCGAATAGCCTTCTGGGCCATATCCACAATCAAGGGGTATACTGCGATATAGGAGGGATCATCCGGTCCGCTGTACTTGTTGATCTTCAGATGATCGGTCGGTAGGGGTACCTTTCGATGACCGTCTATACAGGCTGAAGTCTCGTCCACAACCTTATCAAGGTCTTGCTGTCAGAAATATCCGGAAGGATCTGGAGTCATAGGCGCCTTACCAGCTTGGTAAATATCTTTTTGATACCAACCTTGTTTCCATAATCTGTTTTATGCTGCTCAAAAAAGCAGACAAGTTCGAGTGGGGCTCTGTTGGCCATTAAAGTGAACTCATATAGGAGATCTCTAAGGCTCTCTGAACCTTCTCGAAGGTCCTTCATTATACTATCCTCTGATCCCAACCCTGAAGCCTTTGCAGTCATGGCGATCCATTCTCCCCAGTTCCCAGATCGGGTACCGCGATGAGGAGTACCAAGAAAGATTGATCCCACGGTCGACTCAGCAAGGTACTCAAAGCTGCCACCATGAGAGTTTGCGGTCACCAAACTCTAAAAATAGATAAGTATAAAGTACTTGTGCTGATCGCATATGAGATGGTCCTATCTCACCTGCTCAATGACTACTCCACCAAAGCTATGGCCGATGAAGATCAATGGTCTGTATTTCGTATCCTTCTCCTGCTAATATTTAGACCCATGAGATTAGATCCCTGGCTGGAGAGTCAATCACCTCTTTGCGTTGATTGTCCAAAGCCGTCAGCAACTGGATAGCGCATAGAGGACGGCGTTGCTTTGGAGCCTTCAAAATCCACTTCGACTCATAGTTGAAAGTCATGATTCGGGAACGGGGAAGTCTTGCGGGAAGCATGTTCTCGTCTGCAAGCCAATTGACATGTACTTCTTTATCGCCGTCTTTCACTTTCCTGATCCATGCCCAGTCCGGACTGGCACCCAGACCATGAACTGCAACGATGCTGAGAAGAACAACACAGTCAGTACACAAAACTATACGCAAGGCCACTAGATTCGGGACCTACTCCACACATGGATCTTGGCCTTCAAAGAGTACCTTCAACCCCAGCACTTCTGGACAATCCGCCATTCAGTAGGACTCTCGATCAAAGTGTCCTTACCCGATTGACTAGTTCACGTTGAAAGAAGCAATGAATAGACCCAGTCGATTATCACAACGCGACCTCAGTATCCCCGGAGAGTGTTTCCCGTAGACGTGAAATTCTTCCTATGTGATCACACTTACAGTCAAAATTCGTAGGGGATGGACACCTTAATCATAACACAATTGATTGAGACTATACTTGGAAGCAGACACCTGTCCTGTTGAACAACGTAGTGGATGGAGGGGTCAGCTCGCGAACACATGCCCTACCGCCTGATTTCAGATAACACTCGTCTCGCTGATTCGTGCGCGTAAAGTCGTAAATTGATGAAGAATTGGTCGAATGCAAGTACCAGCTTATGTAAACTACTTTAATCTTAGAGAGGAAGCTCGACAGCCTATGACGCTTATCTTTACGGCTCACACCCGTTCACCCTCCCGGCTCAACTCTACCATCTTGTCTGAAGGGCAGCGAGAGGCCCCCGACTTCGATTCAGGCATGCCAGCCTTTAGGAACAGTAAATCTCGGTCAAGATCGAGAACCCGTGATAGAGTTCAGAGACAAGTCTGGCGTGACATCTTTATGAGCGGCCGAAGCGGAGGAGCACGAGGGGGTGGAAAAGCTACTACTAGAGAATGGCGCCAAGAAGGCTGGCACACGTGAGCATTTTGACAGGCGTTGGATGCATCCGGAATGGAACTCGGATAGTGATTCTCCGCGGGACTTCTATTTCCTACCCGACTTCCTCAGCACAGACAAAGGTCGTTCATCAATGTCCCGCCCTTTGGCTCTCCTATCAGTAGAATATAGTAGCGAGATAAGAGAAGACAAATAGTGAAAGGACAGTTCCGACGCGGCCTGCAAAGGGCCTCCCACATATTCACAGCTTCACAGTCGGAACCCTTTTCTAGCTCAAATGAAAACACAGGTGACAAGGGGGAGGCCTGCGCTTGAAGACCTCTTGGGAAACGAGCCCGGCGTTTGATTCGTCACATTTACCCTGCTTCCATGCTAGAAGATCAATATTACACTGGACTGGCAGCAAGAGAGCTCTGAGTTGCTGCAGGTTTCTTCGTAGGTTTCATCGTAGGCTTCTTCGTAAGCCCTTTCGTCATATGATACACCAACGTTGCAATCGTATGGTAGACGACGAGTATAAAGACGGTTCCGACGGCGAGACAGATACAGGCGTACGGAAAGACAATTGAAAAGACTGTGAATCCATAGGAGGCTCGTTGGAAGGCGTCATTGTGTTGAAGACGAGTTGTCGCAAGTCCGACCTGCATTGCGGTCAGGACGAGGGCGATAAATGCAAACAAAGAGACGATGCGGGCATAGTTGTCGTGCCAGAAATTATTGTATGTATTATAGCCGTATGGGGACTTCAAAGTACACCGGTATATCCAGTTCAAACGGGTCAGTTTCAGTTCGCCGTAGGTATAGCGCTTGTTGATGTTGCGCTTGTTTGCTGGAGTGAGCAGCTTTTTGACAAGCCTTCTCCAAGCTGGCCAATCCAGAGCGTTTGGTACGAGATGTGCGTCCTTAGCGATGTGAAGATCACTCTCGTATGTTATTAAGGAAGCATAGGATATCATAAAGCCAAGTGCGCATTTATATATCTCGCATCGGTCACAAAGAGGGACTTCTTCTCCCGTCTCAGTGCCGCTTGCACCCTGCGTGCTACCTTGAGCAGCTGCGCATTGTTCCTGGCAGCTAAGATTTTCGTCCCAAAATGTTGGATAGAAGAGATATCCAGGGATCGGCTTGAGAAACATTCGTTTGTCGTCCCAAACAAGATGCAAGTCAAACTGCTCATGGACAATAATATCGCGCTTGACGGCTTTTTGATAGTGTAGAGGCCTTGGAGGCATGGGTCGACCGACAAGGGATAGCCATTTGTGGATCTTGTGCAGCCTTTCAATATCAAACTCTTTCTTGAAGAAACTTGTGGAAATCTCGAATGGTCCGACTTCATCCTTTTTGGTACGATGTGAGGCGGGGAATAGGTCGTCGTACGAGGGTTCCGTCAGACCCGGGATTGGAGTTTGGAAAGGTGAGGCAGGAAGTAGGTTGGGGGTCACGCTTGTTGTCGATCCGTTGGCTCCGGGATGCTGATGGTTGACTACCGTCAGACTTGTAATTTGAGTTTGGATAGGTGACCGCAAGGGATCGTGAGTGAGCGATGCGGACATAGCCTGTAGCCTGTCAGTTCTAGGATTTTATGCGCGGGTAAAACGTCAGCTAAGGGCTATTTACTCCAGATGTAGCTATCCCCGAAGCTACTTGAGTTCAGAGCAGCTCTTTGGCAAGTTGCTCTGCTTTATTTTCCCTCAAAAGCCAACCAAGCAACGCTCACCCGATAAGCCCAAGACTGGGTGAGGTCGACTTAGGTTTGGGCACGATCTTTTCTTCAAAACTTGGCAGCTGGAAAGTAGGCAACTACTGTCGAGCGCCAAGATATCCTCCGAGCAAACTCACAAACATCCGAGGGATCCTCAAAGCATTCTCGGCATTCTAGGCCTTGATTCTCACAAAGACCTCTGAAACAAGGTTGATAAGACAGCCTGTGCTGCCAAATCTAAAGCGAATGTCCTGAGCCTGCTGAGGGCAACCCCTCCCGCAATACTGCCCCCCTTTAAGCTCTGAACGAGCTCCTTCGCCTAATCCTTCATCATGTCTCATCGTTCGATATCGAGCCATCATTCAGCTGCGAGACACTCTACGTGCTACGTACGGAACGGCGGGCAGGATATAGAGGAGAAGGCGGAAATACACCACTCGCTGTTGACGACTGCTTCAATCCAGTCTGCAGCCTACGTACGGACGGACAAATTGTTCTCCCATGCTTAGCTGTGCGAGGCTTGCTTGTGCATGAGAAAGATTAGTTGTATACTACAACGCTATGTGTCGAGGCTTGCGAGGACTATTAGCCCCACTATGAAGAACGCCATAAGGCTACTACACTGGGCGAAGGTCTTTGGTGAAGAGATTGGAAATGTCCTTCCGAAGAGCGCATTGACCCTCTCTCCTGAGGTTTATCCCAATGGAACCGCCAGGGATACTGGGGACCGCGAGCGGGTACTGTCGTGCTGTTCTTACTTCTCCAGTATCCCAAGACACTTGACTTGGGCTGTCCTGCTTGTTACCTGTGAAGTCCTAGCACGTTGATACACATGTTGTAGAGCGTAGCGGAGACCGAGGCTCTCAGTTCTATAAATTGAAGAACACATTGGCTGGGTACTGAGGTCTATATGCTGGATATGTACATGACGCATGGAGAACTACATACCCTGGGCAATCGCCCGCACATATACAGGTTCACCATCAAGAGTTGAACATATCATGCAATGGTGTAAACATCATACATAACCCATAGGGCGCCTGGAACATTGTGAGAATCTGGTGAGTGACATTTGCGCAAACATGCGTGTTCTCAATTTGCCACCAAAGACTGGTGAAGAATGAAGTTGGGCTCTGCTCCTCAAGCCAACATATATGTGCCCCCCGTGCAGTCAGGCTTCGCGCGAGTGAGCAGGAGTAATAGTCGCCCCACTATTCGCGTTTCAGCCATCATTGATTCTTAAGAGTGGGGAAATCAGTATATTCTGACCTTATAGCACTCAACACTTTCGACTGATAGATCCGACCCTGCAAATTGCCAGATTGCCCGGTAGCCTTAACCCTTAGGTCTCTCACCCAGTGGCACAGAAGATGAACCCTGCTTATACCATTCTCCAAATGTTGATCCAAATCGCATGCCGCTCGAGGTCTCACACGGTGGGCCGTCCTTGCTCTAAAATGTGCTGCACTACTGTTGAAAGTAGGATACCAGACATGTTAGAAAAAGAATGATTGTGACTGAAAGACTGATTATTGATTCATGGGATGTACGGATATTTATGTACATACACAATAGAACAGGTGGGTGATGGTGGCTGGTAATTACTAGCCCTGGTAATACGCGACATGTATGCGATAGCCGAAGGGGCTGGTATTGTAACACTACTAGCAATACCTTTCCTGATACTGGAGTCAGGAAGGGTACCTGCCAAATTCAATTTCACACCTCCAGCCAACATGTCAAAGACAAGGACCTCATTATCATCAACCCCAAAGATATTCGCGATGTGCTGGCTGGGTCCTCGGCAAGTGCATCTCGGGGGAAAGGCTGGGTGGCGTCGTCATGAAAAATATCGCAAATGCAGTTGATTGGCTACTCTACTTGATCCTAGCTCTGATTTCTTCAATGAAGATGTGCGGTTTCTCCCCCACCCCTCCAAACTCTGACCACACTTTTCTCGACCAACTTTGCATGAAATTAACCAGGTCCTCTGCCCACCATATAGCCGCTTCTACAACGTTCTTCAGTCTGCATACTCAGATTTTTGATACAGATGGAGAAGACTGGGATCCTGGCGATTAGGATCCTGCTATTGGCTGGGAAATCGGAAATTTTATTAAGAATGCTGCAACAAAGACGCTCGAGAGAAGCGACTTGAGATACCTCAAATACGAGCTTGAGCGGAGATACAAGGATCTAGAAAATGCAATCAGGTACATGGAATATGAGGTCAACGATTATCCACAGAACTGGTGGACACCAGTATCGGACCATGAGCTAGCATTGAATTCATCTGTGTTGCCTTCATCAAAAGCACCTAGTCCCAGGCGAGCGTCTTTACGGACTCAGGCAGGGCTCGTTTGGCGGAGACCTAGGGCCCGGATGAACCGAGTGGGCTCGCTTGCAACGATAGGTACGGGAAAGTCCGGAGGGGAGTTCATGGTTCGGGTGGGTTCAACAACGGCAGTGACGGTGTTACAATTATAGGTATGTTTGACGTTGTGGGACTGAGGGTTCTCGCGCAAATATTAGGTTGAAAGGGAGGAGCGCGGAGGGTAGTTGCTCGATCCTTGTGTCTTCTTGGGTCCAACAAGTGTTGTAGAGGCGCGAGGCATCTACGTCGACTTTGTAACATGAAGATAAGGGCATGAAGTGCGATTCGGTTCTAGAGAGAGGGGCGGAAGGGTCTGAGGAGAGCTCATTTACCGATGGGTGGACCAAGAGGCTTGAGGACCGCTCATGTACCGATCAAGCGCGCGAGTGTATGCATTTTATCTTCTGTCAAGTCTTCTTGGAGTCGGGTCAAAACCTTGTCTTATCACGTCTTATGAAACTTCTCGCTGCCTCATGAAATGAGATAGTCTTTAAATACATTCTCAACATCTCATGTGGTTACCACTGGTCAAAAAGCCAGGGTTCGCCATCGCCCAAGAGATAACTTACAGTTCTTTCAAAGCGGCGACCTTACTCGCAGATTGTCCTTGATGATACATTACCGTGCTGCCGCTCATGCCAAACCATCGAGTAACGAAGTGGAATGAGTATTCGTGGAGATAAAGAAAGTTGACGATTTTGCCGCCCTCGATTCCTCGCGACACGCTGCCTGCCCGTGGTTTCTCAATCTGAAGTGCTCGGAGCCGGAAGTCTAGGCCGATCATTTCCAAAGTACCTTTGGTGAGAGCCAATAAGAATCTAGCCTGGCAGCCTTGGAGAGATAAGATACGATCTCCTTTAATTGGATAGTTAGACGAGGTGTGGGTGGGGTCCTGGGCCTTGGCGAGGCTGGAGGTCAGACGGACTCTTGACAAGAACAGAACAACTCTCCTCCGCTTCATCTAACATGGTTTTTGACCGTTGAGTTGAGGTAGTGCATCTTTGACCCCTTGCTGCCGCTATATCAGATCTAAGCGTCCATCTAATTTGCTATTGTTAGTCGGTCGAGCCTACGTTAGAGTCTTGCAACGATGGCTTCCCGACCACAGGATGAGGAAATCATGGGGCTTTATACGTGGACACCGACAGGTGGCAGCCCTAGCAGTGATGGAGCAGAGCCCAGTAAAGCTATTGAGTGAGTCTATTGATGCCTCAACGTACGTTTAAATGACGAATGTGATTAGCATCATCGCTGTTCAAGGCCTCGGCGCCAGTCCGTATTATACCTGGGTCAAGAAAGTCCCAAAGGCTGGTGGTGGGGTTGAGGAAGTGATGTGGCTACGAGACTTGCTCCCCGGGTTCGTGCCAAATGCGCGGATCGCCACCTTCAGCTATAGATCGGACTGGTACACTTTGATGAAGGGGGCCAAGAAGACCAGTATTCGCGAATTGGGAGAACAATTGCTCATGGCCTTACACCAAGATCGACAGAAAATCAAGGTAAGAGACTCTAAATCTCGTATGGCTTTCCCCACTCAAACCACAATGCTCAGGCATCTCGGCGACCGATCGTATTCATTGGGCATAGCATGGGTGGGCTGGTCATCGAACAGGCTCTCGTGCATGCCAGCAATCGATCCGAGTGCGAAGATATCAGGAACTCGACTACTGGTGTCGTTCTCCTGGGGACGCCTCATGAAGGGACTCCTGTTGCAGCAATCGGAAAGTTCTTCGCCAAGGTCAGATTCAATGACTCTAAACTACTGGAGCAATTGCAGCCAAAGGAAGAACAGGTGTATAATCTAATGCATGATTTCGCCTCTGGATATAAGCACCTGAGCATCATGTGCTTCTACGAAAAGCTAGACAACAGTTACCTAGAGGGACGGCTGAATGTCCCCATTGTTGACAAACGTTCAGCAGTGCAAGTGGGAAGGGGGATGATGTACTTGATAGCAGATCACTCTGGCCTGAACAAATTCTCCGGAGTCGACGATCCCAACTTCAAGTCCGTTTGTGACGCCATCACTGGAATGGTCAACAAGGCTTCTGAGCGCGAAGGTAAATCCAACCTTTCATAGCGGAATGCCCGAGTGTGCCCCAAAGCTTGTACCTGCGCTTATGTACTGTTAGTTCCGCGGCTCCATGATCACCAATTCATGGTCTCCAGGCGATCAAATCCGCTGTTTACTGGGCGGAAAGGCGAGCTCGACAAAATGAGAGAAGCTCTGTGTCCCTCGACCCCAAAGGAGAAGCAAAGTACCGAGGCAAATGTATACGTCCTCTATGGCATGGGTGGCGCAGGGAAGAGCGAAGTGGCCCTGAAGTTTGCTTACGACCATCGCCCACAGTAGGATCTTTGAGCCGTGATTCGCATACTACAGCTAAAAATATTTTAGATTCTGGGGCATCTTTTGGGTAGACGCAAGAAGCGAATCTTCTATCGCGACTGGCTTTGTGGATGTCGCTCGGCAATGTGGTCTTGACGAGAGCACCAACAGTGCAGTTTCTTGGCTTCAAGATACGTCGCATTCGTGGTTACTTATCCTAGATAACGCCGACGACCCGAAGCTCGATTTGTCTCCTTACCTTCCCGCCGGAACAAAGGGAAACATAATAATTACTTCACGCGTCGTTGAGTGTGCGCAACGGTACAACAATGCTGGAAAGGACTTATACGAGCGATTGGACAAAGAAACTGCTGTGGAGCTCCTCTTCAAGTCATGTAATATTGATTTGGTTTCACGGAGTGAACATGAAGACCATGCGCATGCTATTGTGGACCTCCTGGGCTGTCATGCCCTTGCTGTAACTCAAGCTGGAGCAAGTATCTCGCAGGGAGTTTGCAAGCTTGAAGAATACAGATCAAGGTTTGTGAACGAACGGGGTGTGCTTTTGCAGTACTTGCCCGAAACGAAGTCCGAATATGGTGACGTCTATGCTACTTTCGAGGTTTCCGCAAGATACCTTGAGGGATGCAGCGATGAAGTCGCAAAGGACGCACTCCAGTTGCTCAACTTCCATGCATTCATGCACTTCTCGGACTTTCCGGAGGAAGCCTTCGAAGAGGCGTGGAAGAACTCAAAGGATGAGGCACTGCTCAGTTCTCACCTACAGCCGAACGATGATA